GACTAGACATAGAACAACAGTCAAAGGCCACTCGAATTACACCACATATGCATGTCTATTAAGGACTGTGCTGCACCTGCGCATGTGTCCACGACACACACTGACCACTTTTGTCACCTTAAATGCCATGTTTGTGATGGAGGCACTAGAGACTGAGATTGAAGGTGACCCACAGGATCATGTTAGCTCACAAATGTGGGAGGTTTTATATCTTTCAGCACAGCAGGACTAGACTCACAAATGTGGGAGGTTTTATATCTTGCAGCACAGCAGGACTAGATATGTAAACTATATGTAAACTGATTTAATTACGGCAAAACTAAAAAAGGTTACTCATTTATTGTAGAAAATGTATTTTTGTGGCAAATCAAAATTGCAAGTTAAATATTATTTTAATTATAATCTATTTGCAGCCTATCCACACAGACGTTTGAAACCAAATTTCAAGGTGCACAATTATTTTTGATTTTATTCACAAAAGAAAGGATATTAATATGGGCGAGTGCCTCAAAATAACACAAAATACTAAGTATAAAGTCAGTGGTCAAAAAGTGTCCAAAAAGTGTTAATTGACACAAACCACTACTCATGTCTAGTTCCTTAGCTAATCCTAATGTTTCCTTCAGACAGAAGTGGAACTCACTTAAATATGTGATGTTAATTAAGTGGTGGATAGGTCATTGACACGTCCATTATTCTAAATGTCCCAATATATATAAAACTTTTATGTGATTTGTGAACCTTGCAACACAATATGGCAAGAATGTGCATCTGTCTTCTGAAACAGGGATTTACACAATCTATTTAAATGAATGGAAACTGATTAAGTTGCCGATAAGACATTGATTTTTGTTTTGTTTTTCTGATTGTCCCATTGTTGTAACAAATCATTTGTGGATGTACTGATAATTAAAAACGTAAAATTGGTTTGGGTTTAAGTTCCTTAAATGTTGCCTGCTATTTAACTTAATTCTTATGCAAAAGTATAAAGTCTGTAACCTGCTCTTTAGATCCTAGAGCCTAGACTCTGATTGGACGACACATAATCTGACAGGTTGTTTACAAAGACACTCAAACATAACACCTTCAGTATTTCTTTTGACCCCTAACGTCGTTGATTTTAGCAGGCACATCACTGCGAGATGTCTTCCAAACCTACGCTCACCGTTCTTAGGTGCTTCCTGAGGATGTACATGATGAAGCCCCATAGTCTAGACGTCACGCCGAGAAAAGTGCGGACGCCAAGTAAACATTGGCGGGTCTTCAGCATGATGATGAGGATTATTGGAGCACACAGAACTCACAGGAACGCCACTTTAATCCGAAGTTTTATGAGAGGGAAAACTGCAGGGGAAACCTGCCCGCTATCAGTTCGGAAAAGTCACTCTTTGGCCACAGTGAGGAAACTTGATAAACAAATGGGCCAAGCAAACGTGTGAGTACCTCGCTCTGCACACTTGTGGCACAATTAATGTTAAATTCAGTACATTCTCATAGTTTTGAAGTCCAACGTGGACGCCTGTGACGGTGAAGCCGCTGCTGCTGCTGCACGGCGGCGGCTGCTGCTGCGGCTACATGGACCTTAGCACGCAGCTAGTTCTTATTTAGCGTTGACGTCAATGGGCATCAGTGGGACTGATCTTCTTGTTTTTCTTCTATTTCTGTTCCACTTAAAAGGTTCAAAGACATTCACGTAGACAAGCAATTATGCCAAATTGACCTCCGAAGCTGAGCTCTGGAGAGAGCTGAGAACCACCGACTGTCGTTAGCACCTAGCCACTCGTTAGCCACCGCTAGCTCGACGGGGTGACCACCTTGAACCTTGGACGAAAATTAACCCCCAACAGCTGCGAAAGCACGTCAAGTACCCTGTTTAGTAGGACTTGGTGGCGCGCGGCATCAGAGGAAAAACAGTTTCACCAAAGTTCCACAAAGTCCAGCCGGCCCCGGTAATATTCAGTTTGTAGTCCAGTGGAAATCCGGAATGAAAGTGCGAGCCGCCATCACCGTATTTTCGTCACTTCCGTGAAAAACCGCGGGATCGCGCGCAGCACGTCCACGTGGAAAGAAAACAAACAGGCGAGCACGAGCCCCGAAATGTATTATGTGATGATAGCTGCTTAATTGTTGCTGCTTTAACGGTTAGTACAAATGGTCGTTTGCAAACGTGTGTCCGTTGTTTACATAAAGTAATTGGTTTTAGTTAACCTAATCATTTCATAGACTTTGACACGCGTTTATAGATGGGGCAAGAGAAAATTAAAACTATGTCAAAATAAATTATTGATTGAATGATTTGGATATATAGAAATGTGTAATTCCTGCGCGAATTGTACACTAAAATCACCCATAAAATTTGATTAGCGCCCTCTAGAGGTTTTTGCTGTTGGCAGTTTTGTACTTAATATGTCACCGTCTCTGCTGATGCTAAAATCCAACTTTTCTAGAACCTTAGCAATATCAACAGTATATATATGCATCTAAAATGAAGCCTGTCTTTGCAAGCCAATAAGATAAAGAGTTGAGTAGATCATTTAGTGATCCCAGATGATTAGCAGTCCTCCGGTTGCTTGTTAGACTCAAAGATTTACACACTTCATTACCTATGAAAGACTATCCTAATTTGAAATTATGACATGAGAATTTTTATGAAAATAGCTATATTTTGTGCAGGAGTATAATATAAAAATTGACTGTTTGTCATGACAAATGTAACAGAGTGCAGACAACCATCAAATACAGGAGGCTCCAAGAGATTTTCTCAGGCTCAGATTCTGCAAAATATGCAAAGAGTCCATGAAACATGAAGGCTCTGGGGTTCTAGTAAATGCCTTTATTCTATACATCAAGATCATCATCTGGGTCCTCCTGATCATAGTCATCGTTTTCATCAGGCTCATACAGAATTCTTCCTGAACTGGGGCCCGAATGCAGGAGAGCAGTTTTCCTATAGATGAAAAGAAGCCCGAATGCAGGAGAGCAGTTTTCCTACAGATGAAAAGAACGAGAAAAGATACGTTTAATGTGTTAAAATGTAAAAATATATAAAATAATTATTAAAAGTCACTAACTTCTCTTTGCTGAAAACAAAGGGGAGGGAAAGGTTCTCTTTGGCCTGACGCTCTGCATCAGATAAGCGGAGGTTGAAAGTCAAGTTTGCAGTTGGATCCATCTACAGAAAAACACACCCAAAATAGTACGCTCAAACATTTGCAGACTCATCTCCTTTCATCCAGTTGACAGCATCAACATAATGTTTTTTTCACCTTCTGTTCCTCGGGGCCTGTCTGTATGGGTTCTGTTTGGTGAGACTTGCCTTGTACAATAACAGAAAGATCTTCTTTGATGACAAAAATCTCCTCCTAAGGACACATTTTGTCATTACACATTTTTAAGAGAATGGTAGTTAAGTAATAACCATAATCACATCCTTAAAAAAAAGACTACGCACATCCTGCAAAACTTTTCCTGACTTGGAGCGTTTTGTTATTTTAGCTTCAGCTTCTTCTGCCTTCATTCCAGGAGCCACAGTGATGACTGATGTGGCCAGATGGCATACACTTCCCACAATCCCTTTCTGATGCATATCTGCATGTAGTAGACCAACAATAGCTCTCACGGCGCCCCCTAATTAAAATCAGCAGTATAAGACAATGTCTCAATTTTATTTGAATCAATTTACTTTTTAACATGAGGTTTATGTTCCTTAAATAGTAAAGTTTAACTAAATTGTTTACCTTTTCTTAGTTGCTGAAGAGTCCTGCAAAAAACAGATGGACTAACATGCCTCAAAATCCATGAGAGAGAGTCGATCACTAAGGTCACTGCACTGGCGTGTGATGTTTGCTTTATTAGATGCGTAATTTCCTCCGCATTGAACTGGTGAACTGTAAAAACTGGATGATCTGTCCAACCCAGGGGGTCAGTGAAAGCACTGTGAATGTGAAGCCTGCAGTGACAGGAATGTAGATGAGGAATGGTTACAGTATACAAGTCAAACAATTCATACGCAATTATCACCTAAATGCTGATATTTACAGCAAAAGGAAGAATATGCTTTTTTTATACACTGTTGCATCAATCCAATCTGTTTTATGTCAATACACTATAAATATACTATAACTTATCCTTAAACAAACTAGTTCTTAACTGGTTTTAGAAAAAAGGTGGGGGACTATTAGGTTACCATGATGACAATTTCCAGCATGTAGCCATCCACTGACCACTTGTTGAAAAGAGGAAACCCATTAATTTATGTGACAAATATTTACAATGCAAAAAACCTTACAAATGACCTATTTGTAAGTAAAAGTGTGTGAATATGTGAATCAGCCAACATCATTAAACTCAGAAACCTCTTGGCAAATGGTCCTTTCAGTCCATCTCTCAGTTCATCTTCGCTGAACTCGAAGCCGATGAAGTGGACAGTTTCCTCTCTAAAGAATCAAGAAGAAAAAGTCTCTTTATTAGTGACATTATAGGGAAACATGTACATAATTAAAAATAAGTCACTGAATATTGCACAAGAGAGCAAGTAAACATTCACGTACGTATAAATACACTGGCTATCCACACACAATGTTTCCTGACTTAAAACTCCTACCAGCTGTCTGAAATTTTAATATGTTGAGCAAAATGATAATATATGCCCAATTTCACTTTGATATAGCTCAGAAAATCTGCTTCAATAATGCACTATCCAAGAAACAGTTCATACTGTGCATTTTAATAAAGTCTTGCCTATAGATCACATGGTGCGCTCATCATTATGTTCTGCATCAGGAGAAGGTACGTTGTATGTTTATTGGCTGTAATGGGGAAAGTGCGTAATGTATGAGTAGAATCCTAAGCCTGTTGTGCTATTTAACTCATCCACGAAATGAAGGGCTCAATTGAAGAGAATAAAAAAAGTAGCCATACAAGTTTTCATACAAAAAAACCCCAAAGATTTTATGGTCTTAATGGTGCTGTCTTAAGTCATTCAGAAACCCAATGCTTTACTGCACCACACTCTTATGATCTTTAACTGGATCCACTAGTACTGCACTGCATATCTGCCTCAAGTCTTGTGTTTTACCTACAACCTTGGCCATGTGTTAGCAAATGATAATGCAGTGCTGTTCCTTTACACATATACTTAGTTGTGTGTTTTTGAAAGAGCCAGAACAGAAGAGAAAGAGGGTAGAGATGCTCCCTCTCTGCTCCACATTATAAACAGTAAATGGGTTAGGGGAGCATACAAGGACCAACCTTGTCCATTTTAAGCACTTTGTACTGTCTGCTTTCAGGATGACACTGCACCAGCATACTATTTCAACTTCGGTGCAGGGGTGAGAGAACTCACCCCCTACATCCAACAAGACCTGTGTCCTTAAAATATGAAACATTCTTTGCTCTGATGCTTCTGAAGTCACTACTTTAAATTTACATTGGCATTAGAAATTTAACGTGTATGTGTTATTTCAGCATACAACATCATCAGAAATGAACATAATTACATTTGAATACCTGTTTAATGCAGCCTTGACGAAGCTCTTGAGGAGTTGTCGGCCGGAGTAACGCACAGAATCTACAATTAACAGGAAAAGGATGGCAAAACTTAACTCCTAACTAACGTGTACACAGAGCTAAAAATCACAATTTACCTTGTATAATAAGGAGCCCTCCAGCTTCAACGTCTTTCAATAACTCAGGCAACATTATAATACATAATTAAACTCTAAAAAGTCCAGGTGGTGTCAGCCTATTAGCATGCTGCTAACACATTGCTTGTTTTAGTATAAAAATTACAGCAGAACAAAGACTGTAGCTCTGTCACTAAATGATAAAAAGAACAACGAGTCATGTGTTAGAAGACAGGCGTATATTAGCCTTAGTTATACAAAAAAAAGTGTGTTTGCGCTAAGCACAGACTTCACAGCATAACTAAAACGCTGTCCCTGAATATATCAATACTGGGAAATGTAGTATCGCTACGTTTCGGTCAGTGCAATTGTAAACTAAAGTAACTACGTTACCCATAATGCATCGCGCTGCAACACTCCGGTGGCAGCAGCAACGTCAAGAGGCTTCTGCCGCGCACAGTCTGAGAGACATAGTGCGAAAGGCTTTAGTCGTATTGTATCCGAACCGCGAAGAGACGGCAAAACTTACTACGAGTTTTTTCCAAGGAGCAATATAAGCTTAACTCAGCCTAAATTCAACGATTTGTGATCAAATCTCATGTTAAATGCGGTTTCAATGTTTCAAAGGAGCAGAACACTTTTTCTGTGCAGTGCGTTTAAAGGACAGCGGAATTAAAATGTTGTCAGGCTAATCACAATTCAGAGGCGGCAGGCTGTCGGCACGTTAAATCCACTTGTTTCGTTGGATCCTACTGCTTAGACGAGTAAGTGTAGGATTTATTTCTTGGTGTGGAACGTTACCTCATAGCTTTAAAGGCACCTGCCTTGGGAATTTTGTTGGGGCATTACGGTGCAGCCACGCCGAGGAACAGGCACCGCGCGACGGCAGCTATTCTCCGGCTTAGCTCGCCTGGGATCGAGGCCTTTTCGCTGAGGCGACAATGCTTGACATAATGTCCGAGCACCAAGGTATGTTTGGTATTACTCCCTTCGAACGACATATTTCGATAGTTGTACCTGCGTGTGTAGAATATATTTCTCCAGTTATCTTTATGGACGATAAAGCAGATTACTTAATTTAAAATGTGACAACTGTCAATGCTACGTTTGGTTGCGTATGTAGCCACAAGAGCTCTAAAAACTGCTGTTAACTTTTCTTTTGAGGTTTAAGCATAAACTTAATGGTAAAATAAGCAAGTACTATTTAGTGTTTAGTGAGGAATAACGACAATTAGTAGACCTCATGTTAATCTTTATTGCAGTCAAGTTAGCTTGCTAAGCAGTTGGGCGCCTTAACTACAGCAGCTGGATAACAAGCATACGTTGGTACTACATTAGTAAAAATAATATTATAATACAAGTCAATTGTAATTGCCAATCCCAAAAATGACAATTTTAGTGTTATTGAACAATTGCAACTGAGTCCATTTAGCTTTACACCCGGCTAAAGTTAGCATTAGCCTAAGAGCCTCCCACTTCCAGTCCAGGAAAAACAACCTTTGACGATGGGTCAATATACGTGTTTAAAAAAGAAGCGTTATTTCGGTAAAACTAAACAGGATTTTATAAGTTGAAAGCACGCATTTAATCAATCTAACTGAAATGATCGAAACCGTGTGTTTAAATTGCTAATAGAGTAACGTGTTGTTAGCGTCGGCTAACGTTAGCACGTTTCGCTTCGACAGCAGAAACCGTCAATCCAATTATCTGACAGTATTATTTTGTGAATTCCCTTAACAGCTGTTGATATTTTTTTAACAGTAAGCAATTATTAACAAAACTTTATGAAAATAGTGGTCCTCCCAGAGTTGGGTGCAGACTCCAATTCAAGCAACACCGGTATCCTATCATAGCCTACGTCTAATAACAGACATTCTAATTACACCAGTGTATTTTATTTTTAATGTAACTCCCCGCGTTTCTAAAACGTGTCTTTCAAAGCGAAGCACCATTATAGTTCATATTGATGGAGTTGTTGTCTCGTTAGCGTTAGGCTAACGTTAGCAGCAGCCCACTCGTGTGTAGTGGTCCCACCGGGTGCTTTACAGTGTTGGTTTTATCCTTTGAGAATATTTGTTACCTAAACTACTATATTTTTTGTCCTCCACCAGATTCGCTGTTGACGTGTAAAACAGAATCTCTGGTAAGTTTTGTTCAATGTTATATTGACTTATAGCTTTTTTAGGAAAGTCTCTATTGTCATTGCATTACAATACATTTAGCATACGCTTTTATTTATTTATTTTTTTGTGTTTATGCAGTTTTGTAAACGTTTGGTCCACAAAAGGGCCATAGAACATTTAGAGATTGAAGATCGATGTAGTAAAACCTGCATTGTAGAAGTCACACTTGCTTGCTAGACTATGCAACCCAGAAACAATAGTGGGGGGTGGGGAGAGTTTCATCTCTGTAAACTTTGGATTTTTGTCAAAACATGGTGTGTATGTGGGACTTGAAGTGCAACCTTGCCATAACATCATTAACAATCTTTAGATCAGTGATTTAGGACAACAAATCAGGTTTTGGTGTTTTGCAGGCATGTGGAAAATGTATTTTTGAGTCTTTTCCTTCAATTCTGTTTTTCATGCAGTGAAAATGCCTGTTGTCCTTGTGTTTCTTGTACCAGAAACTAACAGTTTCTGTGGTGAAACCCCCCCATTAACTACATGTCTACATTTCTGCTTTTTTTTTAGCCCCCAGAGCGGAAAAAGAGGACTGTGGAGGACTTCAACAAGTTCTGCAGTTTTGTCCTGGCATATGCTGGTTATATCCCGAGTCCAAAAGAGGTAATTTTGTTTAATTATTACACAATCAATTTGTTCTTCTTGGCCTGTCTTTCTTTGAGTGCGTTTTTTCTTTGGTCTTTTAGGAGAGCTCATGGTCCCCAACCTCATCGAGCTCTGGTCACAGCTCAGGACTCTCAGCAGACGGAGGTGGTGGAGGTAGCAGCAGCTCCATGGGCAACACATGGACAGATGGCACCTCTGACATCCACACTATTCACACGTTTGTTCGTAAAGCACGAGCTAATAAGGGGAAAAATATACGCCGTATGCACTCTGACAGCACTCTGCTGGACAAAATGCGGCTTAAGGACTCGCTGTATGAGAGCCAAGTCGGCACCAAGGCGGAGCGCAAGAAGGACAAAAAGCTAAAGAAGTTGTCACTGGGTTCTACCATGACGGCAGCAGACAGCGGCAGCAGCGAGAGCGAGAAAAGAGCCCGAATCAAACGAAGCAAAAACTCAAAACAGCCTAAAGCAAAGAAGCTGAAAAGTTCAGCTACTCAGAGCGAGACAGACTCAGATGCACGTCACATGCACACAGAGGTACAAGCCATCAGAGAGGAGCTGGACGTGCACACCAGCTCCACGCCAAGCGTGCAGGGTCTTGGAAAGTTGCAGCCAGACGAGTCCATAAGGGAAGGAGACATGAGCTCCAGTGAGGGTGAGACTTGGATTGCAGATGAAGACATTATGGTGGAGTCAGGTATGTATCCTGAATTGTTATAACTCATTATTTGTGTGATGTATAGATGTGCATAAATATTAGGTCCCCTTAAAAGGTAAGAAGCATTTCCTAGATGCTTCCTACAGCCAATTATTTTACAAATTGGTGAAATAATAAATTAGAAAATTAGACTAGTTTAAAACGTTCTGAAAACTGACCCAGTTCTGTTGTTCAGAGGGTGTCGTTTTTTTATTTAAGTTGAGAAAAGTAATAAAATGAAGTTATTTCAGGTCTAGGAGTTTATTCTTCACATGATAACAGATCAAATTCAACATTGAGTCGCGCATATTCAACACAGCATCAAATTATGTAAATAATAAAAGAAGTCTAATAGGAATTAATTTCATAAAAATAAAACAAAAGCAAAACACACAATGAAGATGTCATTAAGTGGTTTGCAGCTTTTTAAAAGAGTACACCTGAGTAATACTTTAAAATCTACCAGGTAAGATGTCTTTTACATGTATCTCACTGAGTGTCTCTCCTTCATGCACATAGGGGACGACTCATGGGACCTGATCACTTGTTACTGTGGGAAGCCCTTCGCAGGACGTCCCATGATTGAGTGCAACCAGTGCGGCATCTGGGTTCACCTGTCGTGCGCCAAGATCAAGAAGTCCAACGTCCCTGACATCTTTTACTGCCACAAATGCAGAGACACAAGGCGGTCGGGACACAAAAAAGACCCTTAGGACAGTCAGGGACTGCAGGACGGAACTGGGAGTGTTCCACTTCCCTTCTACCTGTCCCCGACATGTCTTTTCTTTGATGCCTGCAGCCAAAACAGCCTGAATTATCACCTGGGAAAGCAACTATATTGTCAGTCCGACAGATTTATTTTGACAATCACAACAGTTTTATTTTAAATTTATTCCCCCTTTTCTGTTTGGATTCCATGGTCTTTTTTTTTTTAATTTGGCTACAGTAAAAAGTGAAACTACATGGTGTTTAAGAATCATTAATTTACCAATCATCTCTTGTATCAGTTGATAATTAAAAGCTTTTTTGTGGTTTTAGAGACACAATGTCTCTCATTTATTTGGATTTGTATCATAAAGTTCAAAGGGCAGCTCCTTTTACTTTTCATCCTATTCAGAGTTTACTTTTTTTTATCATGAGTGGATAAAATGGAAATTGAATATAAGAACTTTTTTTATGCCTTGCCCAAACATTTATTTTTGGGTCTAAATGGCTAAAAAGTGTTTTTCTTTTTCAAATTGCACACAGACAAGCGCACTTTTTTTAAACTACACATCCTTGTACCAATGCAGTAAGGGTGGTACTGGAAGAGGATGAGTTACAGCTAGTTCAACCTGTAGCTTTTTGATTTAGCGCTTAATTTTTTTGTTCTCCCGCGTTCTCACTTGTTACTATCCACCATTGATAGCCAGTTATCCTGACCGACATATACGTTAGCAAGCTGTTCCATGTTGACATTTCTGCATGTGTTCATTCTTTGTTTTCCCAACCCATCATTTATGACGAGTTTTGGCAGTAGCTTCAGAATGTCCGAAATCAGAGAGAGCTCCCTCTCACCAGGGCTTTGTTTATGAATGGTTGCAAAATATATTTTGTTTTCTCTTGTTTTATTTACACGTTTATTTCTTGGAGAACTTTTGAGACACAATGGAGAGCAGACATACGTTTGTTTGTTCGTTCTCCGTGGAGGTTGTGGCGTATTTCTTTTTTGTTTATGTTGTTTTCTTTTATTTGTGGGAGAGTCTTTGGTGAGTCTCCAGTAGCAGTTGCACTCTGTCTCACTCGCTCTGTATACAACATAAAGATCTGTGTACATATCATGTTTCTTCGAAGTCTGTAAATATGTTAAAGTGAAGAGAGGAAATACCCGAGCAAAAATCTATATTTTCTGCCGTCTGACATTGTTTTCTTTGATTGTAGCTTGAAGAAATTAAAGTCTTTGGGAACATAAGTTGTTTTTCACCTTTAATTTTTTTTTTCAATACATACCAAAATAAGAGGTATTTGGTCAGTTTATTAGAAGCACACAGTGATGTGTTTGTCATGTCTGTGTTTCTACCACTAGATGGCGATGCTTGACAAGCCTGTCAGTTAATACAGCAGTGAATCATTGAATAAATTCAGGAAAAAACAAATATCAGAGATAATTGAAAGGAGTTCAGAGGTTGAGTCTCAGTCCCTGTAGTCCTCCCAGTCCATGTCAGGCTCATCCTGTAACAGGAAATTTAAAGATTAATTATCAGACAATAAAGGTTTAATGACTTATTAATGATAATATAATCTGCTCATGATGTGTGCAACGTGTATTTTCTGTTCCCCACAATGCAAAATAATCTGTCTTCTTTACCCATAGGACTGAGTTCAAAGCCTGGTTCTGGGCCCAAATAGGGCACGTAGACAGTCAATAGTGTTAAATGTGATTTTCCTAGGACACAAGTGAGAAAATGAAAAGTTTTTTTTTTTTGCTAAGATGAATTAGGTTTTTATGGCATTTGAAATATGTCTAGGCTACATTTTATTAATTGTGTGTAATTCTAAGCTTTCTTTTAGCTTTTTAGGGTCATCATGTAGCCATTTTAGTTACTTTTTGCAGTCAATTTGGCATTTGAACCAAATAAGTTGCTGTTATAGCTTAATGTGTCACTTCAAATGATTCTTTATTCTCTTGTGTCACAATCTGTATCTCAGCAACTTAACTTGTTTTTTGCCATTTTTTGCTTATACATATTCACATTTAGTTACCCTTTAGTTAATTCTATTTTTTGTCTACATTTTTAATTTTTGATACATTTTTCCTGACTTGTCTTATGTTCACATATTATTTTTTCCTTTAATTATGGCAACATTTTTAAACATTAGTTCTCACATTTTTATAAATGCCAATATCTTTTTGTATTATGTTTTTACTATATTGCTATACAGTTATTTCTGGGATGACATAGCTGTTTTTTTAGCAATTCTGGCTGTTTATTTACTTAATTTGTCTCTGGTACTTCATAGGTCTGTGGTGACTTGTTTGTGTTGATTATATTGTTTGTTACTGTTTTCTTACCTTTCTTGTTTTGAAGCTTGACATTTGAAAGCTGCCGATGGGGTCCAGAGGAGCAACTTTAATCCTGTAAATATTAGAGAAATTGAAATTACACAGAACAGTTGTTTGAAAAAACATAGAGGAAAGAAGAAAGTAAAAAAAACAAAGAAGAAAAAACAGATGCCAAAAAAAGGCCTGATTTAACAGTTTGTTTGTCCTTACTTCTTCTCATTGGCTTTACGCTGATGGTGCTGGTGCTGGTGCTGGTGCTGGTGCTGGTGCTGGTGGTGGCGCTGCACAGTCTGAAGGTAGTCAGTTGGTGAGATGACAGGCTCCGAAAGAGAAGGACGACCATCGATGTCAACTCTGCCTCTCTCCCATACATCACCCACAGAGTGGTCTCCAAAGTCCGTGTGTTCAGTCAGGCGGGAGAAATGCTCATGGTCTGGCCAGCTGACCTCCTGAACAGTCAATCAGAATCATAGTGTGAACACAAACTTTTTTACTTGAATTATTTTTCCAAAAATGCGACAGAACTTGTCAAAATTACCCTTTTGTTCTTGGATCTGCTTGGCAGGCACGCCGCAGATATTTCCTCTCCAAAAGATAAAGAGCCAGGACAGGCAGCATCCACCTGGAGCTAAGCATCTGTGAAAAGTTCAACATTTATTCTTGATGTCTCAGATCCAGGTAAGTTGGAGACAAACTCATAATCAACGCAACTCTTACCTTCAGATTTTTTCTTTATTTCTGCGTCTCAGAGATCGAGGTTGAGTTTTGCAGCGTCTTCTGAGGTTCTGAGTGGTGTGTAGGGTATTTGTAGACCTGTACATAGGGTGGGTTTTTATCATAGGGCAGGCACCGAATGGGATTGTTTTGGCTGTTGGGTTTGTGTGTGTCTACAGAAAGTCCAATTACATCTCCCGCCTGGTCGCCTTCCCTTGTCATCATTAGCTCCAAATCTCTGAAACCACTCAAATTGAGATCTGAAGTGCTGACAACATGCCTGGACACACGTACCCTGCCCCTGCCAAGATGTTCAAAGAAGTATTTCCTCTCATTAAAACCTCTCTACTTTTTCAAATTAATTATTCTTTATGAGCTGGTCATGTACCGAAGGCTTTCATCAACCCCTACTTAAAAAACCTACAATAGATTCTACATCCTGTCAAATTTAAGGTCAATATTAAACTAAAGATCCTTGAGAGCGCTGTCTATGAAGTCGGCGGCTTTATACCAGCACATGGCTGTGGGACTGGAAAAGAAATGTTTAAATCAGACCTTTAGGCCTATTTTGAGTCACACCTTACACAAAGCTGGTTTAGACCAGTGTTTCCAACTTTTTTTCAGGGAACCCATATTTTAAAAGTCACAAACCTTTGCAACCCAAGTCAATAGACATTATTCGTAAACTCCTGGGAAACATGATGTGAAACTTCCCCCCAAAAAAACTCGTGACCCACCTGAGAGTCGTGGCCCAGTCTTTGGGAGACGATGGTCTAGAGTCTAGACCAACATGAGAGATTATTGTGGACCAGCATGGGTTCAGTCGACAGCCAAACTTTGTTTGAAGTTTGTGGTTCAGTTTCTTGATACCACATATGCTGCCTGGACCTAAATGTGTGTTACTGAAATCAATACAGTAATTAAATTCCAAAGTTGGACCGTTGTTTGAGACCAAGACTAATTTTACTGTTTACAAGCAAAGTTTTACTTTATTAAAACTTGTAAAGATTAACGTCTAAATGATAGTAGTTACCTTAAGTACCTGAAGTTTAGAATTTAAGTACCAAACTGAATGTGCCAGTACAGTTCATTATGTTGAATTGGTTTGATTTTTCTGTTGTCCAGCTGCCATCCAAGACAACCCTAAACCACACAACAATAATTACATATGATTTATTTTTAAAACTTCAATATTTATTACAAATACTTAGTGTGTTTTTTTAGCACAGAGACAGTGGGATCGGTAATCATATCAAAGGACCCTGGAGTGTGGCCTATCATGTCTCCATCGCTGTGTCTGCGATCGACTTCATCGGAGCAGAGCCACCCAACGCAGACCGCACACATCGCTGTGCTCCACCCGCCACTGCCTGCTGCCACTGTGTCCAGAAAAACAAAACAAAGAGCAGCATGGATGCAGAGATTGGCAGAGTAAAATGGGTGGAGGGATGCAGCCCACTCTGAGCATATGCTGGCTGAGACACGTTTTTGCTTTTCCTCCTTTCCCGCCCTGTCCTAATTAATTCTATTTTGGGGCTGGGAGGCCCGCCAAACACAGAGCTGGTGCTGATAGATCAGTCATGTATAAATAAACCAAGACAAGACTAAGAGCATGTGAGTGGGGGCAGAGGCCAGATTGGCTGCACTGATTACCACCATGATCAGGGACCAGCCTCGTTAGGAGGTTCTGGCATGAAATGACCAAATGTCCTCCTGTGGTGAACGTGAGGAGAATCCTTGGAACAAGACATTACAAACATTAAAAAATAACAAAGACAAGTGAATTCTTCTGTAGGTACACATAACAGTAAATATATACATTAACAAAAAAAAATAAGGTTGAAGCTAGCTAAAGTCAACACAGTCCTGTCTGGTTTATTGTTTACCTCAGGGTTTGTTTTTTAAATTGTAATCAGACAATTGTCTCCCAACAACAGATATAAAAAAGACAAAGCATGATACGTTTTAGTTCATTATCTGGTCTTACTCTGTGTCAGCTCAATATCTGTAATTTTGGCCAAATACTTTGTAGTAATAGTAGTAGCTTCTTTTTCACTCTCTTTCTGGTAATGTGTGTGTGTGTGTGTGTGTGTGTGTGTGTGTGTGTGTGCGCGTGTGTGTGCTCCGCCCCAGCATGTTGCCCTATAAGTAAGAGGCATATGCTAAAAATAGATCAGAAGGGGCAAACATGGGTAGAGTAGGGTGATAAACACATTGTATTTCTTTAAAGTATATCATGTATATGATCATTTGATATACATATCAAATGATTGTGTTTTGACTTCCTCTCATTGCTAAATATGTATATAATATTTATTCTCTTACCGGGAATATGTATATAATATTTATTCTCTTACAGGGAACTGGTGCAGTTTTTTTTTTAAAGTCGTCACCTGTTACACAGATACTTCTGCTCAGGGTAATACAGTGTGTTTAAACAAAATTTTAATATTCAACCAGACAAGTTCTTATTCAGAAGTTAGTTGTGACTAAATTAATATTACCACGGAGTTGTTCAAGATAAATTTGGATTATATGTTAATTATTATTCGTTTAAAATAATAAATATTTACGTTTCGAAACATTACTTTAAGACAGTATCGTTGTTAGTGTCCTTCAGTTTCTAACAGTAACCGAGTAGTAGGAGGCAGCAATGAACATAATTGATATCTTCTTTGCTGCCTCCTACTTCTCGGAGTTGGTATTGCAGCTGCAAGATTTCCCAACCTTGCGATATATAAAAGGCATTTTGCCGTAGAAATTAAAACACCAAGTTAATTATAATACAAAATATTAAGCATGGGAGTCCGAAGAGCTCCTGTCATGCTATGAACATGCACAGATTTACTTTACCAAACGTCATCAGTGAGGACTGCATGTCATACAACTTCACTTTTATCACCTTTAGACTGTAGACTTTTAGTTTAGTTTTGAGAAATTGTTGCTTAATTTACTCATTTATTTTACTTTTTTATGTTTCCATTTCCATTTCATTGTTCCTCAGAAAATTAACAGTCTGTAATCTTTTTTTTATCTATAATATCCCGGAAATGCCTTCAAGTATCACGACTGTGTTTTATGTTATTTTGTGTCTGGAGATTTGTCGCCCTCAAGTGGTTGGTATTGAAACTAAACTTAAGATTCTGGCCCCTCCCTACTGCTGCTGCTTGTCTTGATAAGTGCATATCGCTGGGTGTTCTAGAGGCAACGGTGTCAAAGACACTTGGTAAAAACATTATCACCTTTCATTAATTTTCATGCTTGTGTCGATTTTAGACAACACGACAGATTAAATTAAAGGCGCGTGAGTCGAAAAAGGGGGAGGAGGGAGAAGAGAAATGGAGGGAGGAAGGAGAGTAGGCTGAAGAGGAAAGCACAAACAGAATTTGGAAGAAGGCAACAAGAACTCCTCCTTAGATAAGCGCCTCCCCTCCTTTAGCTGTTTCTGACTTTGTTGCTACACGGAGAATCCCAGCTGCCACACAGGTAAGATATTAGCAGTTTTATCACAAATAAGAGAGTTGTTTGAGGAGTTTTCCCTCCAGACGTGAGACTTCACAACAACACTAACCAGTCATAAGGGGACATTAGTGTGGACAGAGAGACAGAGACAGTCTGTGTGTCGTTGGCTTTAATTGAACTGCTGTTAAATCTGGTGAGGATTAGCATCAACTGTAGTGAGAAACTGGTTTTGACTAAACCATTCGGTGCCATTTACATGTTTGTAAAAGGACAAAAGAAGCTACATTTAAACAGAAGGCAAAGAGTTGACTGATAGGAAAAAAAGGAAGCGACCAAGCCCCCTTCACTTTCCAAGTACGCCCCTCCCCTGAGGTTCTTCTCGGACATGTTGCAGTCACTTTTCCTTCTCATGCAGAGAAACCCGAAGCTGTGATTCATCAGTATCACATGACAGAACGTTGTTAAAGTGTAGAGATTTGCCTGTAAACACAGGGATGATTATGTTCACAGTAGCAGGACAACAGACTGAAACACTGAATAGACCTTAGAGTTGCTGTTGGACTCTTCAATGCTCGTTGTTTCACATTTTCCCCTAAAATGACCTCTACCCTGCCCCTCCCACTCCCCCTCCCTTTCCATTTCTCTTTAACTCCCACAGTTTCCGACAGAGACGCTGGGAATAAACCACTAACCTCGGTGAGCTGTGTCCAGAAAGAGCCGCACTGTCACCATGTCTGCTCCTGGTGAGTTTCCTGAAAACAAATGAAGCTCAGATGTTCAGGGAACAACAAAGGTTTTGAACGAGGAGGAGAAAAGGAACTCTGTATTTTGTATTTGCTCAGCTGTGATTCGCTCGGTTCAGAAGGCTTTCACATGAACATTCTGTCGTTTCATCCCAGGCTCCGTTGGTCTCTATGCCTGTGTGTGCTTGGGCTGTCCAAAATTTAGGCTGCATGCCAGTTTGGCTACATGTTAGTTTGATCATTGAAGCACTGCATGCAGAGTGTGAGTGGATGGTGAAATGCATCAAGTGGTCATTTAGTTGTATCATGTCAGAGTACAACTAAATAGGATCTATTATACTGGGACTTGGTGGTCCTTAAGAAATAACAAGTACGTGTTTTTATTTGTTTTTCTTCAAAATGATGAAAATCAAGCTCAACAAATAAGTATTAATTTAACTTGAATTTTAGTATAAGATCAAATGTACAGAGGTCTAAATACACGGGGGAAAAGGAAAACTATAAGAAGGGATAAATGAGGTTTAACATGTAAAAAGTTAAGATGTCATCAGGCTGATGTAGTACTAGCGTTATACAGTACAAAGGCTGTGTACTCTGAGTGCTCTTCAACATCGTTCAGTCTTACCTCTGGCTTAAATGACTTTCCCACTCTTTAACTTTTCATCATCGTGTCATCATCATGTTCTGCTGTTATGGACAAAAAACCCCAACAAAGCTCCTGTGTGTGTCGCTGTGCATTCTTGTCCACCTTTTGTCCACCTTATGTAACTGCAGGGGAACTTGTGAATGAATGATACCTTGGCCTGGCTCCCTCTAGTGGCCTCCTGAAATTTGATCATTCTCAAGTTAGTTAAATTACAAAAGACAGATATTTATGCTGGGGTTTTTAGGTATTAGGAGGCCTCGTTTGTGACAAGTGCTGGTTTCGGTGGTCTTCTATTTTAGTTTGAGAAGGATGTGATGTAGATGAGTAGGAAGTGACAGCCACAGAGCTCAGAGTTTCAGAGAAATGTGTGACTGGTCACTACTCTGGAAATTTGAGTTTGAAACATAGTACAAATACCTTGAAGTTGACAGAAGTACAAAATGAAGCAAATACATATCTGGGTGTACACATCTCTTACACTCAGTCTTCTCCAGATTAAACTGGACTCTACTCTGGGTTCTGACATAACAGTTTGAACATGTCAGTTATTCTTTAGGTTCATAATGGTAAAAAAACAACCTTCACGTCATTATCAAGTAGAAAAAACACGTCACAATGGTTTTACTTTGCTTAAAAAACCTGGTATTTTACCAATGCTGTGAAATGTCAGCACACTCAGCAGCCCACAGTGGAAGAATTTCACCAGGAAACAATGCATTCACCTCTAAAGGTGATTGGTCGGTACTGTAATGAACACAGAAACCTGTTTGTCTGCTGTGAGTCAGCAGCAACAGCACAAGACGTAAACACACATCTGCCACTCTGCTCAACAACGGGGACATTAAAATGAAGAGTGACAGAGTATAGGTGTGATTGTGTGTGTGTGTGTGTTTGTTTTAAACCAGGGCGGGGATCTTTATTTATGTGACACATTACAGTGTGGGTCAGGAATGAAATGTCATAATAAGTGATTTGTTAAGTACTCGGTGCTCGAGGTATAAATAAATATCACAAAGTATGTTTGTGACATTCACATTTAACATAAAACACCAAATCTTAACCTGATAAATCCCCAAGAACACTCTACACCATTTTCGTAATAAACTTTAAACAGTTCCATGATGGACAGTTTTTGGACCAACTGGCCTTAGTGCAGGTCAACGTAGTAATTCTTTACTACATGTATATGGGCCAGGTGAAAGAAGTGGGCCAGGTGAAAGAAGTGGGCCAGAGTGAATCCTTGGCTGAAGCCAAGCTGCTGGTCTTTATAGACTGTTGTTGGTTGTAGATCAGGTCAAAGCCCACATCCAGTAAAGTCATAACCAGATAAATATGGACTAAAGTGCACACAAATAACATGATTGTTGTTATTTGAAAATGTCCAGTACTTCAGGGTGTACCTGTCCTGGGGACATGGTAGCGTCTACTCCCCTGGTGTTGTTATCACATGGTTTGGACCAGTATTTACTCACTTAACTACTCTGTTTTAAGTGCAGTCAGTCCGCACTGTGGCTAATAAGTAGCTTGTGGGCTCAGCTCTTACAGTGCGCGCACACACACACACACACACACAAACGATCATGATGGTGTAAGTCAGCCCATGATTTCCTCAGTCTGTGCTGCTGTGACAACCTCAGGCTGTGCGTCGTCATCTGTTTGACTTGTTCTTTATTTAAAGGTAGGAATTTAAAACTCACGCTGTTTTGTTGCGGTCAGTATTTACGTGGCTTAAAATAAATCCTGTATTTTTGTGCTTTTAAAGATTAAGTTAGAGTTTGAAAAATCTGAAATGAATTCTTGTATTTTCAAACGATCTCAGCTTTGACACGGTCAATTCATTTGTATAAAGTCTGGATTTTGAGTCAGTAATCTGGAGATTAAGGTTTTGGATTAAGGAAGAAAAAGTTGTGAGGTTTATGTTTCTGTTTACATTCTGGATTGATCATGGCACATGGGTTTGTGCTGTCTGTCTGACTTCTCTCTCTGTGTAAATTCCATCTTTTTCTTTTAGCTATGTTCTAGTTTTCTAGATGTTGCTCTGTTAAGGCTGCAACAAGTAGTTGATTAATTGATAACCAGCCAATTAGTTAATGCATCATCACAGGTCTATTTTAGTAATAAATAGCTGTTCCTCTGATATATAGTTTGATAAACAGTTTGAAGAATCAGTTTTGAAAATATCCTTCACGTCGAGCTCATCTCTGTTTCTAAAAGGAAATAAGCAAAAGGTTGTTATCTTTGAAGGTCCTGTGGTGATGTTTGGTGAAAGAACACGTGTGTTTGTGTGTCACGACACTAGAAGACTGTTCAAAGTTAAATACTGTTTCAAACAAATATTGATTAAATGTACCTGTGAAAGATGAAAAACATAACATCACTGTTTTTTTTCCAGGTTACCCATACCCCTATAACCAGCCTCCGTACCCCATGGCTCATCCTGGTGGCCAGTCCGTAGCCCCGTACCCTGTTTCTCCAGAGGGCTACGGAGACCATGTTCAGGCGCCACCACCGGGCTTCAATATGAACTACAATCAAGGTCCACCTCCAGTCATGTACCAGCCAGGACCGGTGGCTCCAGGACCAGAGTACGGGGGCCCTCACGGAGGAATCAGCCCCGCTCCAATGGGGGTGGCTGCTACAGCTGCTGTGGGGGTCCCACCAGGGCTTGAATACCTCACACAGGTAGGAAGGAGACAATCAAAAAAAAAAATAAAAAGAAAAGAAAAGCTGTGACTCTAGTTTATTGTAGCGTGTATTACTCACTCACCACTCCCTCATCCTGAACGGTCATGGATTATTTAACTTTACACCATTTGTCTTTGACTCCTCATTTACAGTTGAAGATATTACTCAACTGAATGTCACAGTTGTGACATTCACATTAATGAAAGAAAAAGTTTCAGGTTTTTATTTAATCACTGCTCACTTATTTTGAGTATGTTTATAAATTGACTTTATTTTTATGAATAATGGAGCTTCATATCCAGCCTGAGTGGCAGGAAAAAGTCAGTTGTTCACAAGTCAGTTTTATCATTTTTACTTTTATTTTTTTGTTTGCATTTTAGATTGACCAGATCCTGATTCACCAAAAAGTGGAACTCCTTGAAGGTAAGTCATAATCCTGAGATGTTAGATGATGTTTTCCCCCGGAGACAGAACATTTTTATGGAGCTTATGATGGTGAAATGTATGAAGAAAAGTTTCTACAGCTTCCTGTTGAATTCATAAAGACTACATCATTTATAACGTGTTATTTCCATCACTTACTTCCTGTCCTTGACCAGCATTCATTGGGTTTGAGACCAACAATCAGTATGAAATCAAGAACAGCCTGGGCCAGAAGATCTACAAGGCCAAAGAGAAGAATGACTGCTGCACCAGGAACTGCTGCGGCTCGCTGCGAAGCTTCGACATGAAAATCAAAGACACCATGGACAGAGAGGTCATCCGCCTCATTCGACCTTTCCGCTGCGTCTCCTGCTGGTGTCCCTGCTGCCTTCAAGAGGTCTGTGTGTGTGTGTGTGTGTGTGTTTGAGTCTTGGGTAGGTCAAAGGTTGCTTATTTGAAAAGTGTATCATTCATCTCACCAATATTTACCCAGAGCAGATTGACATTAATATTTGCACTTTTATGTTTGACCACCGTCATTCATCTTGTTAATATGTAAACATGGAGTTGGCAGTAAGTGATTCACAGCTGAAGTGGTGGAGACTGCAGCTGCAGTAAAAGAAAGCATAGAGAGTTAAACACAACTGCTGTTTTTAAACACTTTACTTTATGGCTTCACTGTTCGAACATTTGTCAAACAAACAATGAATCAAACAGTTGTTGCAGATGACAGACCACCATTATTTCTCAGTAACGTTGGACACATTTGTTTTTTTAGTTCTATCAGGAACAGGACTTCCTCTCAGTCATTTGGCCGACAGTCAAAACATTTTCAGGTCTGAAGTTCAACCAGTATTCAAACTGTGTGTGCTATAATAGTGTTATCTGATTTAAGTTTTTCCGTTTTCCAGGCCTTTCCTTTTCCTAGCCAGATATTGTATTTCTCCCTCCACAAAGACCTGGAGGTCAGGTTGTGGTCCTGTAGTTTCAGTCCCTGTCCAACAGTCCTGAGCGGTGACTGATTTCAGAGACAGACTCTTGAGTTACTGCGTCTGCTGTTCAGTCCTGCAGTAACCCTTTTTAGAAACATCATGATTCCACATGTCCTGGCTGTTTTTCACCTTGTCTTGCTGTTGGAGGACAGCCTGTCACTGTCTCTGTGCACCACTCTGCCCAAGCCCACGGTGTGTTTCAGCTATGAATGTCCTTTTGTCCAAACTTTGTCCAGTCCAGTGTCCTTTTGTCCAAACTTTGTCCAGTCCTCTGCCATCCCTCCACCTCTCAGACCTTTCTCTATCCTCCTGTCCACGTTCAGTCACTCCGTTGGCTCCGACCCAAGCTTTGACACAGTGTAATAATACATCACCTGTTTACTGAGCAGACTGAAGCCATGACAGTCAGAGACTGTTCAGGGATCAGTCAGAGGACGTAAAGCAGGAGGTGGACCAGGGCTTTTATGGACCAAACTTCTGAACTGTCTGATGTGAATATGTGCATCTTATTCTCTGACTCACAGATGGAGGTCCAGGCCCCTCCTGGCACCACTATAGGCTACGTCAAACAGGACTGGCACCCGTTTTTACCAAAGTTCTCCATCCAAGGAGCCAACAAAGAGACCGTTCTGAAACTGGAAGGACCGTGTTTCGCCTGCAACTGCTGCGGAGATGTCAATTTTGAGGTGCTCCAGGATAGATGATGTTTGAAAACGTCCACCAGTGTCCTGTTAAAATGTCTGGTTACTTGGTTACTTCACCCGACTCTTACATTTTGAGCAGCACAGTATAAACAGTCGTCATTTCATGTTACGTTAAAGTGACGATTGCTGCTGATCACATTTGCGGTTTCAGAGGGAAGTGTCACTGATTTGGTAACTGCTCACACTTCCAGACACAAGTGTTGCATTGTGGGATTGCATCATGCAAAGCCACAGGGAGTGTTGCATTACACAGGGTCTGCTTGATTAATACACCAACACATTCAGCCTTTTACAAGTACAGTGCTGTTTTGGACATTTACATGAAGCGTAGCAGCTGAGGATGACGTTGTCAAATATGATTAAACATTTCAAAATGAAGCACGTGTACTGTATATACTACACACTGAGGAACTGCATCCTGAGCCTACGGGCACCTTTTAGTAAACCTGTCTTTAATTTAATTATTTAATATTTACTCCACAGCTGAAGGGAAAAGACGGAGGCAAACCCATCGGTCGCATCAGCAAGCAGTGGAGCGGACTCTTAAAAGAAGTCTTCACCGACACGGACAACTTTGGCATTCAGTTTCCGCTGGACTTGGACGTAAAGATGAAGGCCGTCCTCATGGGCGCCTGCTTCCTCATTGTAAGTCTGCACTCTTGTTGACGAGGACAGATGGTTCACCCACCAGAACCGGAAAACCACTGATTTTTGTCCTTGTTTTACAGGACTTCATGTTCTTCGAGAAGGTCGGGGAGGCAAACCAGCGCAGCTCAGTGTTCTCTTAACAGAAAAAAGGAAGAAAGAAAAACAACAGCCTGGGAGCAAGAACTGTGGCCAGCTATGCATACTCTGATCACTTACTATGTTTTCTTGCCTCTACTTCACTACATTCCAGCCGTTGTGGTGCTAACTACACCAGCACCTTTAATACACTCCCTCTGACCAACATCCACCTCTGATCTCAGCCAAGGATTTCTGTTTTTCTAACTCTCTGACCTCAAACACACCGGTGCCAGGCTGCAATGATTGTTCCTTTCACTCTCTCTCTCTCTCTCTCTCTCTCTCTCTCTCTCTCTCTCTCTCTCTCTCTCTCTCTCTCTCTCTGTGACATTGTCAAGCAGAGATTAACTCCTTATCAAAAGTTACCTACACCATCTTTAGTGCCTACTCATGGTAACAATGACCTTTGAATCACAAACATTCACTTATAAATGGGAGCTTGATATTTCATCCATGTTGTGTATGTTTACCTGTTGTTATAGCACTTGCGTTTGTGGCCAGTGTGTGTGTTTGCCATTTGTTTTTATAAGACTGAAATATTACAACCACTGCAGACAGAATTGTGGGTGAGTTTTGTACAGTTGTTGGGTGTTTGAAGGATAAATGCTGACCAACTTTAGGCATCTCAAACGTGTGTGTCCTACACGGGGGTATGGACTGTGTATTGTCACACTCACCATCCTCAGTGGCACTGTGTTGTTTGGAGATTTTGGAATCATCGTCACGCCCCCCAAAATATGTGAATTGTTAGTGTTAGCTTGGTCGTGCTAGTGTTCAGCTTCATAATAGTGCGATGCCGATAAACACAGCTCCACAGATGTGGCCTTTTCCTCTCAGACTGTTTCTACTGCATATTACCAGGAATAGTTCTTAGATACAATGTCTGCTTGTCTTTCCATCACAGATGATTTGAAGTTCTGCAACAAAAGTCCACTATTGACTGGTGAATGTTGTATGAAAGTGTCCCAGAACAAGTGCATTTACCAGGAGGTTCTGTCTCCTCCTGAACTACCCACAGTACCAGGAACTGTGATCCACATTTTTTATGTCTGAAAAAAAAAATCCTATTTTTTTTATTCCACTATAAAAAATGTGGATTAAAATAAATCTTAAACATCTCTGTTTTTCTATCTTGTTTACCCAATAGTTTCTGTTCATGTTTTTCAACAATTTTGGGGGTGAAACACAGTTCTACTACTTCAGTTCAGGTTGGGAACTCTTAGTAGAACATGCATCGGTTCTGGTACTGATGCTATTGAGAACTTGCCTACTGTAGAAGTATATAAACATGTAAGGACTAACTACAGCAGAGCATGGTGTTGTTATTTAGCTCATGTAAGCGATGGTGAAAGTGCTGTATTAATGTATAATAATTAATGTCAGTCAAAATTATAAATGTAAGATGACCTGTTTTACCAAAGTGCTTTTTCTCTAACACTCAGTTGACTTTCCTCTGTGCATGTAAATCTGTGTGTACATAATCAAACACAACTGTAGTACAGGCTGCAGTGCAAATACTCCCATAATTCCTCTGTTCTGCAGATGTTGCTGGGGAGACGGGTGGCGCCCACAGTTGAACCCCGTCCTTCAGTTTCCCCAGATACTGTAGTGACCGATGACTAACATTGCAAATATGTGAGAGGCAAAAAGAAAAAAATGTAATTTGCACACGTTGATTAGAGCTGAAGTGGTATCACTGATATGTAGTGGTAACGTTTTCCACCTGAAAAAGTCAAACACGGTGTCAACTGGGCTGTTAATGCTGTATAAATAACAAGGGTGTGTATTCAAAAAATGTACTTTGAATGTTGTGCTTTTTTTGTTACTTTGTGTGGCCCACACAAGGTATATGCCATTCATCTATTTATGTAGCCCACGTTAACACATTGTTGCCTTTTCACGGCTGTCATGATTGGTTGGCGTTTCTTTACTGTTTTTTGACAAATTTACATTGTTCCATTGTCACTTGTAATTTTTTAAGTACTTCAGTTCACACATATAAAGAAATATATATTGAGTTGTTGATGTTTTTGTCTCCTCTTTCTCTACATATCCAGGAAAATGTGGGGAAACCCATCATCTGGTAATACTTGGAAAAAGTGACGACTTACAGGAAATCCCAGACTCTCTCACACAGACACAGTGAGGCAACAGTTCCATCCTCTAAAACAGTGGTTCTCCAACTTGTTCTACTCTGTACCACCTGAGAAAACATTGATCTCTCTGAGTACCACCATGATGACCAACATTAGAATACAGCAGCAGAGGCCTTCACTGTTAGCTTCCACCACACAGGAGAAATGTTTAAATGTTGTATTAATTGAAAATGTAAATGTGAAAATATGAATTTCCCCCACGTACCGCTAGAGAGCGCTAGCGTACCACTGGTGAGAACCACTGCTCCAAAACTTTGGTCACTGGGTTTCTTCCTCTATATAAATTGATTAGTCAGTAGAAACTTTTTTTTACTTCATACTTTTACAAGTTATAATAACGAGATAATAACCGTGACCTTCTTTAGTCACACAATGTGTGATTACTTCCTGTGCTGCAAGCAGAAAAGACGTTGGCATAGTTTTCTGCAGGCTGCAGGCAGTTGTTGAGATCATGTCTGCACATGTCAGTGGCTGAGCCTTATTTTTCCCTAGGAAACAAGATTACAATGAAAACCAACGTACGTATATTCCACATAATTTTCCAAAGAATATTCCAATTATACACAATAGGGTCTTCCATTCCGTCCCAAAATCCACGCAAAGATAAGTCAACATGTTGATCAATGCCTGTGGGTTGCAGCAATGTAAATAAACACCTCCCACTCCCACAATCAAAAAAAAGAGCTGAAAAGGAGTACCTGTGTGCATAACTTCAAATGTTACAGCACTGCAGATTACACACATATCAGCTAAAAAGTCTAATTACTGCGATCATGTGAGAGAAAAAAGTTTCAACCCTGTCAAAAAAAGGTAAATTATTATATAAGATTACATTTTATTATGTTATGTTTTCAAGTTCAATGTTATAACATTTGCGTTCACTCTTGTTGGCCTGGGGACAATTAAGAAAGTACTTCCTGTTTTAGCTTGAGTCTACCTAAAAAAACCAAATTGTTAGTTTATGGTTCCTCCACTTGGGTGAATGTGTAACATGGGGTTAGTGATTACATTAGGTAAAATGTATGAAGTGTTCTAATAAATGTTCAATAAATGGTTACATTTAAGTTAAACTTTAAGCTAAATGTATCTGGTTATGCTCCACGGGTGCCATTTTGTGTCAAACACTGCCCATGCGCCCAGGTGACCCAATTCAAAAATGTTGTAATCTTATATTCGAATTTTTCAAGTCCATTTGGACCCTTTGTCACTTATATCCACCTATACCCCACACAGAGCGGCACAGCTCATGAGATAGAGTTAGATTTTGTTCTAAGTTGTTGTTGTTTTGGTCAGAATAGTCTTTGGGGTTCGTGGCCTGTCACCTGTTGGTGCAGGTGTTGCTTTGGTTGTTGTGGTCGGTGAGGCTGTTTCCTCCAGGTGAACCACTGCTCTAGTCTAACCCCTTTGTGACCCAGTGATGGATCCCACATTGTCCCACTCTTTTATCTACTGTATGATGTATTGATGAGACCAGACCACTATCATACAGTTTACCTACGTCTGATTTCACGAGTCAGTTTATCAGACTCCTTTCAGCTCTGTAAAAAAAACACACCGACCACTTTATTATACAAAATCACATCCAACCAGGTTGAAACGTTTATTAACGAAATGTGCAATATATACAAATGTATCACTGTACAACACCGAAAGTAATGCAGTGTGCTGAATATTAAAAATACAAAACATTTTCACAACATTTTAGAAATACAAGGTCAATGTGCTCCATAAATCTGTAGTTTTTCAGTTTCAATCTCCACTGGAGTGAACTTTTGCACCTATTCCAATGTTGAGGACAGTGTTAAAGCGTCGGACTGGATTCTGTTTGTCACGGTAAACTAGGATGTCAAAACATCCCCGTGTTACAAAGCAAGAGTAGCAAACAGCCGGGGCAGTCAGGAAAAATACTCTCAGACTCGTCTGCCTTGGCTGATCTGTGGGCGCTCCCTGTCCGCAGGACCTGGATGGTCGTTTGGAGGCAGTCGTAGCAGGTAGCGACTGGCCATCTCCAGGTTCCACTGGTATTTGTTGAGGATCCTCAGGCAGTCTTCTCTGGAGCAAAGGCTCAGAGAGAACAGTCGCTCCAGCTGAAGTGAGATTAAGACAGAAAGACCTGGTCAATATGACGTGGTAGAAAAATAATGATGTGTTTGTGGCAGTAGGAAACAAATTGTTTGCTTGAGATGTAGCCGTGTTTAATAGATTTTCAGTGCACAAGAGTGAGTTGGGCCAGACTTTTTTGGTGAATAATGAACAGGAGGTAGCTATAACATTTTGACCAGTCCATGTAGGGTTAAACTGACTAAATTAATTATTTTACATTTATTATTTTAAGCTGCTTATTGCATACTGCTGTATAGAAAAAGTATAGTTGACTTATAGACAAGTGATGCATTATGGGTTATTGAAGTTACAGATACAGTGTCACATTCATGGTCTGTTATAATGTAAAAACTATATGAGATATACAAATGTGATAATCACTGTTTCTCTCTGTGTTTCTAAAGCTGGGCCTGAGAATGTGTTAGGTCACACACCCGTTTCCAGAAAGGTTGGTTCATGTAGACTAGAAAAAAATATTTTGTGAAAAATGGAATATAAGTCCTGTTGAAAATCTTCAGAAAGAAGAGAATCAGATAACTATTTCCAAACTGTCACTGATTACAACAAAACATCTTTTCTGTCTGTCTGTTGATAAAAGGTCAAATTTACAATTCCAAACAATCCAGATTTTAAATGTATTAAACTGTCTGTGTTTCAGAGACACAGCATTCAGATGTCTGTCCTATTGAATCATTTATTTTCCCTCTATATTTCCTAAATGAAACAGCTCTGACCTTCAGATGTTGCTCAGCTCGTACTGGATTCCAGTCGTTCCTCTGTAATGCGGCGTGAACCTCCTCGGTGGTCACTCCATGTACCACCTTCATAATCTGACCAGAGCAGCACAGAACTGATTTTAATCTTTTTCAAAAGGTTAACCTTAAAAAAAACCCAAAAAAACAGCATCAGTGATGATAAGACAACTGTCGACTTACCTGTGAGACGAGACTCTCCTTCGTGTGCGGGACCTGAGGTGATTTGTCCCGCTCTCTGACTCTGTCCTTTTCTCGATTTTTCTCTCTATTGTCTGTGTTGTCGTCCAGCTGAGGACTGGACCGGGCCATGGGGCTCATGTTAACCAGGTTAGAAACTCCAACGAACTGCGCCTGAGACGGATGGAGTTGAAGGTGTGACTGTTGCTGCGGAGGGCTAATGATAATATGCGGGGACCAGTTGGAAGCTTGAGGTGCAACAGACGGGGGTCTCCTCTGAGACTGAGATTTGGGTATGAAACGCTTTATGTTGGGAAGAGGAGGTCGAGGAGGAGCGATGATACTGGCCTCGCTGAATCGACGCGGGTCCTGGTGCACCATACTTTGAGCCCCAGGGGGGACAAGTCTGTTACCTGGGCCCGACCTGACCACATCAATGGCTTGATCTTCAGACCCAGATCCACTCAAGACCGTCTCCAGACTTCTGGACATCCCTGAAGATACAAGAGAATAAGAGTAAGTATCACAACCGTCAAAAGATTTCAGCTGCATTTTTCTTTAACAATATCTTGATTGTACATGGTGGACAGGGCTGAAAATTAACCACCAGGGGGCAGACTAGGTAATAGATACACAATGAGGATTGGCCTTACAAAATAATTTTCACATTGATTAAAAATGTACTTATTTCTCAGAATAATCGGGGTAAAAAACATTTTTATGAAGATCATTGTATTAAATACCATACCGTAGATGCCTTTTATTTATTTTTAAGCTAACTTTTGGCTCACATCTAAGTGTAACTGTCTAACTGTTATATTTAGTCTTTTTCAAAAACAACTACTTATCTGGTATAAATAATACTAATAATAAATTGGTGAAGACATTTTAGTGACCATTCATACCCTTCATTTTCTTTAGATTGGATTCTTCTTTTATCCTGCTAGGAACCGTCCCCCAGCTGCAGCCGAAACAAAGCAGAAAAGTAAACAAGTGAGTCAAACAGCCTTGACTTGCATAAAACACAGAGTGACAGAAGGTAAAAGGTCAGTGCTGGCTGCAGTGTTTTGCAATAAAATGGAACAATCTGAGTCTAGAGCCTCAATCAGTTTTGGCCTTGTTCAAATTCAAAGATTAGAGTTTACACCAGTTTAGTCATCTTTTTGTTCTTCACTATTACACCTCTCTGAAATACATCAGCATTGTTAAAAACTGATCAGAAAATGGTGTGCCACTGACTTGTCAGAACCCTCAGGCGTTCCCCAGCCGCGCACAGGATTGATGTCTCCATGCCCCTTGGGCTGCATGCTGCCCTTCACAGGGATGGCTATGTAAGAAACGGGCCTGGGATTTGGAAGAAGGAAGTTGGATGTCATGGAAGATGGAGAAGTAACAGTGGAAGGACTAGCAGAACGACAAGGCACACAGATGCTGGCAGGAAACCCGCCGACCATTAGCGTCTTCTGATTCTGGCCTTTCCACTCACTCAGCTCCAGACTGTAGGAACAGAGAGGTAAAAAAAATGAACCAAAGTAAAAATGTAGCCAAGGAATCCAGGAGATGACATTTGGAATGTGGGATCATTTTAACCCCTTTATCATCTCAACAAAAGCCCATTGTGTCAGTCAGACTGTTGCTCCTTGCCTCCACTCACCTGTGGTCTATGACCGTCACAGTGTCGTTGGGCACCAGCTGGAGTTTTCTTGGTTCTGAAAAGCCCCTCGTTACTTGCACCTCCATCGGTCTGGCCTGTAACAACGACATTATTTATATATTAGTATGTAAAGGATTTTCTCCGTAAAATGTAACCAGTTTTCGTTTTCATACACTATATACCTGGTTCTGATATTTTCTCGGCAAGCGTTCAGCAATTTATGCTCTGCGTTGCCATGTTTAATTAATTATAGGTTGTTTTTTTTTTCTTGTCTCCCTCAAAGCTCTTTGCGAACATTACCTGTTTTTGGAATAACTTTGAATTTGATTTCAGTTGACATCAGGTTTTCATTTTCTTCTTAACCGATTTTAAAATGTTAAAAGGTTTTGTATAAAAAAAAAAACCCAAAACCTTCTTAATCCTTCAGCATCTTTGATAAGCATCCTTCTTAATCCTTCAGCATCTTTGATAATTTGAAGCTGTTTTTTTTTCTTCAGGTCCCATCTTGAGGCTGGTATTTTCATATTTATTGCCAAACATTCTTTCTGTGGTAAACAGAGTTTTCTTCTCTTGATGTAATCTACACACACACACACACACACACACACACACTGCATATTTACAGACCTCTTTCACGATAGTGGTGAGCTGAGCAAAGGTTGGTCTGTCAGGAGCCCTGAGAGCCCAGCACTTCTTCATGACGCTGTAAAGTTCTTGAGGACAATCCGGCGGTTTTTCTAGGCGATCGCCGTCGCCTTCCACTCGCCACAGGATCTGTGTGTAAAACACAAAAACACATCAATAGTGATAGGCTTTAAAGATCACTGACATGTTTAAACATGGCAGACAAGTGCCCACCTGTCGTCCCGACAGCCCGAACCAGGGCTCTTCACAGTACGTGAACATCTCCCACAGGGTGACGCCAAACATCCACACGTCCGAGGCGTGAGAGAAGGAGCCGACACGGAGACTCTCAGGAGCACACCTGATGGAACAAGATAAAAAATGACGTGCATCCGAATGGTTGACTGGGAATACAAAACACGTAAACGGCCTCTGAATGTGTTCTCACCATGCAAATGGGATTCGTTTGTTTGCAGACATGACATAGTGATCTGCCTCTTTGCTCAGGCCTCGCATCAGACCAAAGTCTCCAATCTTCACCAACTCCTTGGAGGCCAGTAGAACATTTCTGGCTGCCAGGTCCCTGTGAATGAACCTCCTCGACTCCAGATACTCCATACCTGCTGCAATCTGAGTAGCGAAGTACCAGAGGCGGAGCAGGGGGTACTCGTACTGGCGTGAGCGCAGGGTGTCGTACAGTGAACCCAAAGGGGCGAGCTCAGTCACCTGAAGCGTGGAGAGGTGAGTAAATAATCATCTATTCCAAAAAGAAAAATTGTGTTTCCATGTTGAAGGACCTCACCATCTTCAACGGCTGTGTGAGCACCACGCCATAAAGCCGTATAATATTGGGGTGATCCAATGACTGCATGACTGTGACTTCCTGGAGGAAGTCCTTCAGCATTTCTGTCTGCTTGGACCCACTACCTCTGAGTGATTTCACTGCTACAGGCAGCTGAGGAAGACAAAGACAAACGTCAAGAAAAGGGTTGTGCATTTGATTTCTTGCTTCAGCCCTGATTGGACTCTGTCCTCTGACAGACTTCATTTAATCTTATTATTAATTGACTAATAACAGCAATGAGTTCCATCATCATAATTTAGCTCCAGATCGTTTATCTAAGAAAAGAAGGTTGTTGACTAGATCTTCGACAAAAGGACTGCTTCTTGCTCACTCAGCTTCACTCACATGCTATGCTGATGATCAAAGTATCAACTCTTACCACCATCCCTGTGGGTGAGTGCCAGTCTCCTTTCTTCACCACCCCAAAGGAGCCAGCGCCGAGCCTCTCGCCCAAGGCCAGCTCGCTGTCCTGTATCAGAGAGGGAAGAGCCCGGCTGCCTCCTTCTGAACTCCTTCTCTGACCGCCAACCTGCTCTCCTGAACCCTGTGTGCACAAGCATACAGTTTGCTTACATGTGTCTCACTCATACGACACAGATGGAGTTTACAACAGAAAATAAAACAAGGAATTTACAGACCTTGGACATCACCAGTCTCGGACGTGGAACTGTTTTGTATCGTTTCAAAGCTTCCCATAATCTCCGCTGAGCTGCAAAAACATCATGGGATTAAACAAAGCATAAACATAAAACTAAACCTACAAAAGTGCAGAATATCTTTGACTTTGATGGTATTCTGACACAAAAAGATAATAGTGCACGGTTAGTTCACCATACAGTAAACTAACGTTTTTATTTCAACAGAAAACAATGTTCAAATATTGTCTCATTTAGTAAGTTTATCTCAAATAATACTTTCCGTGAAAGGATTTTCAAACATCAACCTCATTTAATGTCACATCTGAAATTGCAAACTGAGGCATCAAACAACTACCATTCATCAGGACGTAACATTGCTGGTGTTGTACACAATGTTAGAAAGCAGAAAAAGAAACATTTTCAACTCTCAAAGTTACTGAGAAATCTTTTTGTTAAATGTTTAAAACCTGTGTGTATACATATTTATTTGATGCCCATGAAGCTTGAAGAATGGAAGAGGACGTTAAGACTCACCAGGTTTGCTAATTCCTATGCTCTCCAGGTCGTTCTCCCTGCAATAGTGAAAGTGCTCCAAGCGGGTGATGTTGAGACCATCTCTGACCCGCATATAGAACTGCTCCAACTGGACATCAGCTAGGAGGTGATACAGCCACTGAGTGTCTTGGTCCATCACCATGGGTTGGTCCACCTGCCTTTATGTGGCAGGCCAAAAGTTACAAGATGTGGAAGATTCCTTCTATATTCTCCTCTTTTTTGGTCTACAGGTTAAAGACAAAGAAGGCATATGTGGTTAACAAACAGTGCCGTATGTGTGGGTCTTTTCTCATCTCATCTGAGGCCTGTTAAACTGTAACCATGCTCCTAATCAGACCTTGTTAGGTTTCCATGGACTGTAAACAAAAGCCCTTACATTGCGAAGCTGGAGGTTGGTTGTTCATTTTTCAGACATGTGACAGCTTTTACACGTTGTTTGTTAGTTACATGTGAGGAGTGTGGGAAATTAGCAGGGATCTGGGGAAAAAACCTTTCAAATATGTACGTTATCCCTTTTAAATTATCAATATGAAAGCTTATATTAAAAAACAGGTTGAAAATACTGTGCTCCAATTCCTCTTTCAAAAAACTCTACTGCCTACTGTCATTAAGGGCACGTTATTTTGTATTACAGTTCAGTGGAAGAGCCAAGTTACTAAAATAGCTACACAAAATCCAGCTAGCTGAAGTTAGCTTCAAACCGAAATGGAAGCTAAACAAATAGAGGAAACTCACCTATAGACAGAATGAATGAAATGTAATAGATAATAAAGAAGCCCATATATAATAGAGAGTTGGTCAACATGTTGCTAAAACACATTTAGCAAGATAGCTAGATAATCAATGTGATCAAAAGTCAGTTAAAAGTTTGTCAATAAAAGCTAAAAGTGAACCAAGGAGATTGTTAAACTTAAGTCCGTTCCAGTTCTACAATTCCTATTGATAAAAAAACTTAGTCAATGTGCAGCTAACAGTCTGTTTAAAAAAGCTAAACTAGCCAAAAAATAACCAATGATTAGCTCAGAAATATCTTGGTGTGTGCTAAACTTTTAATGAAATAAGCTTTTAAAAGAAAAGAAAATTGCCCAAGATCATCCCTTTTCTACACTTATACATTTATAAATCAAATTAATATTGGCCTTCTTCAAGTTTTTATTACAGCAGATTGTGTTCATTACGTCGACATTTTATGAAGCATTAAGAAGGAGACCGCTCAACTGTGGACCTCCTCAAACAGCAGTGACACGGGTCATTTATTTGCACACTGCAGACACAGATCTAAAAGACAACTGAAAGGAATGAAAGAAATGGCTGAAGTGAAGTCATAAAAGGAAAAACAGGTGCATGATGGGATATGGTGACGCCGTTTCCTTCCAAAAGCATAGAGTGGATCTGGAGTTTGAGCAGTGGCTGTGACCATTCTCAGAGAAGAGAATCTTTAAGGCAACCTTGCAGCAGTGCCTTAAACTGAGACACAGGCACTTCAGCATATTGACATTGAAGGGCCACCAGTCAGACTGGATTCTGTTCACACAGTGTTTATGAGGTCGGTGAGTATGTCAGCATGTCCACTCTAAAAACAAGCCAGTTTGGGAATCGACTAGGATGACTTAACTTTTATTTTCTCCCTTTAAGCCACAAAATCGGAAAGGAAGTTCCCTTTCGTTACTGTAGGTGTGCACTGCCACAAATCAGCTGACTATCAACACACCAACCTCTGTGGGTGAGTCAGGAGAGCGTTTCCACATTCCCATGTCACTGACTGAGCTCGCTTACTGTCTTGTGAATTCAACTCAATTGTTGTTACATCGGCAGATCCAGGCATGTGTCTGTGACTGTGCCAGCCTGGGCTTGCATTCACTTGTGTGGAAACTCCTTTGAAGCGATAGTATAAACAAAACTAGAACGAGCCAAGATAGATTCCCAGGAAGTTGGTGCTATTCAAAGACAAAACACTGGTGCTTAATATAGCAATTAATGAAATGACACAATGGTCCTTTTTATATTTAAGCCTGATTTTTATTGCGCAAATACCATGACTTGTCTCCTATTATCTCTAGTCCATTAGCTGCCAAGTTACCACTGAGGTGCTCTGATCATGGCTCCGTCCCCACTCACTGCTCCTCTTTAAACTGCCCACTATTCACTTTGGTGATGGGTTAAAAACAGAGGTCACATTTGGTTGTGTGCAGTGGTGAGCTGTGTCACAGTGACGAGGAGTTCACTTTCACTATACCTTCATACTTTTCTTTGTCCAACGTTTTGTAGAATGTTTTGCATATTTGCAGATTGAACCTCATAGTTTCACTTTTACAATGCACAGTTCACTTGGATCTGTCACTATTATTGTGCATCACTCTTACCTGTCTGTGAGTCATGTGTTCAGGGGGAATGAATGACAACAGTATCCTTCTGCTGCTTTGACTTTAAATAAGACATCACTACATCAGCGACCACTGCTGTTTACTGTCCACACACACTCATGTCCTGGAAGACCTCCTGGCATCAAGACCAGTTCTTGTTGGAACCACATTGTCAAATGTTCGGTACCATTTAGTTCAGTGGTTTTAAAGAACAGCCTTATCTTTAAGACAAAACTAGACTTAAAGGAAGTTCCCTTTCATTACTGTAGGTGTGCACTGCCACAAATCAGCTGACTATCAACACACCAACCTCTGTGGGTGAGTCAGGAGAGCGTTTCCACATTCCCATGTCACTGACTGTCTTGTCAATTCAACTCAATTGTTGTTACATCGGCAGATCCAGGCATGTGTACGACTGTGCCAGCCTGGGCTTGCATTCACTTCTGAGGAAAATCCTTAGAAGTGATAAAAACAAAAACTAGATTCCCTGGAGGTTGGTGCTATTCAAAGACAAAACACCAACAATGGTAAACAAACCCTGGTTCTTCTGGATATGTGTGTGTGTGTGTGTGTGTGTGTGTACATACAAATTAATCTTTAACCTGCTCTGCTACTGAAACATCCTCTGCTGTTACAGCATGGGTGACCAAGTATACAAGTATTTAGATAATGGTCTGAAGTAAATGGAGAGTTACTGGTCAATTATTAAAACCAGTCGGTGCCGTTGTTTAAGACCAGGAGTGTCCAAGCTGTTCTAAGGAGGGTCAGATTTGATCATTTACTAAATACCAGACACCAACTCCACCTTCCAGAAAATCACATATTACATATTTATACATATCTGCTCTAACTAATGTGGCTGGATTGAACAAATCAACCCAAATGTCCAAGTCTTTTATAACTTTAGGACAAGTCTTGTCCTACTCTCTTAAAGATAAGGCTGTTCTTTAAAACCACTGAACTAAATGGTACCGAACATTTGACAATGTGGTTCCAACAAGAACTGGTCTTGATGCCAGGAGGTCTTCCAGGACATGAGTGTGTGTGGACAGTAAACAGCAGTGGTCGCTGATGTAGTGATGTCTTATTTAAAGTCAAAGCAGCAGAAGGATACTGTTGTCATTCATTCCCCCTGAACACATGACTCACAGACAGGTGAGTGACACACAATAATAGTGACAGATTCAAGTGAACTGTGCATTGTAAAAGTGAAACTATGATGTTCAATCTGCAAGTTGTGTCATTTTATTATTTCCGATGTTACGCCTCTTACACACGTAACATTCAAGATCTATGTAAGACCTATGTAATAAACAGTATCTTTGCAATACTATTAATATTAAGAAAATAATGGACAATTTTCAATTTCTGATATATTCAAATAATTTCAATAATGTTGCATACAGTGAAACAATAAGCAATTTATGACGTGTCATTTGGGATATTATGTTACGTTTACACGTTGACTAACACTGATATTCAAATAGTTACCTTTTCTGTCATGGTTTTAAATATTTATATATACATTTACTGTATGAATATATGTATAAAGTATTTATAAGCTATACAGTGTCTACTGACAGCACGACATTCAATGGTTCTCTTACCGTGGATGAAAACAGGTTTCTCTGGGGCTGACAGTTGAGTCTCAACTACACACACACCGAGACAAGTGATCCATGATGGCCCTGAAACCGACAGAAAAATCACAACTCTCTTCTGACTCTAACTTCTCAGGTGAAGTAATCTCAATACCACAAATTCCGGCTCCTTTAATAGAAAGTTAAAGTTGTTTCTCCACGGTTTGACGGCGAAACCAATGCCGTCGCTCGTTTAAGTAGGCTTTCCGTACCTGTGCATTTCTACGGCTCTTCTCTCCGCCTCCGCTTTTTCCAAGGTAGCCACACCTCTTCCCGAGACTCTAAACGCAACACTCGTCCAACTCACCTGTTCTCGTGTAAACATGGTCATGTGTCGTTATTACTTGGCCCTAATATGAACGTAAATAAGCCAAAAAAAAAAAAAAATAGTTCGATATTCACAAAAAAAAAAAAAAAAGTATCTAACGTAAAATAGTTCGATATTCACAAAAATATTCAAAATATGCTAAATAGATAAAGGCAACAAAAATTAAAACGTAGAGGAAAAATATAATAATTTATAAAAAAGAGAAAGGGCAAAATCTAGCTAAAAATTGGACAAAAGATTAAATTTATTAAAATATCTGTTAACCCAACTAGCTGGTAAAATCATAAATCTTAAAACCCACCCTCTAAAAGATAGCCTACAGATAACAGAAAGAACCAGGAATTGCCTTTAAGTTAGCAAAATGGATAGTAAAATAGCAACTTGTTAGCTTAAGAGCAACGAATAATTGATTACTTTTTGGCTTTTAACTTTATTCATGGCTAAACGTTAGCCATTGTGGTTACTTTTTGAATAATATTTAGGCAGGTCTGACTTTTATCTTATGTCTGCTTTTTTATTTATCTATTACATCCTTGTCTTAACTTTACTTGACCATTTGAAAGTTATTTCTCATGTGTAAAAACTGTGAAATGGTCACGTAAATTAGTATCTCCATACTTTTTATCCAGCACTGTATTGTAATCTTTCTGCACTTTATATATTGGCTTTTACTAGATCTTGGTTTGTAATTTGTAACTTCTTCATTGTGTCTGTGTCTTTGCTGCAACACAACAATTTCCCCAGTGTGGGATCAACAATCAGCTTTTGTATTCCTTAAAATATAAAAATGTTTTCCTGATAAGAGACGCCTTGGGGTAATTTGAAGTAATAAAACTTTTCTTCCTGTTATAAAATTAAGAGATTTCTTAAGAACACAGCTCTAATAATTATAATTATCTGTCAGTCTTTGAAATGGTGTTGTTGTATTTGATGAATTGGAGACACAGTAGAAACATGTTCTATCTGTTCCAAAACTACAGCCAGATTATTGACGCATGCCTGGAGTTATGAGTCAAATTAAGAAACTGTCTTTTTTTTCTTGCTCTGTCTTTCTCTCTGTGTCATTCCTTCTTGTTGTGGAGCACGTCTGACTGGATTTTTGCTTCACTTAATTTCAATGCGAACTCAAGCAGGAGAGTGAGGAACCTGGCTGCACTTTAATCTTCCTAGTACAGTTTCTGCCCTCGGTTGCTCCACCCTGCCTGCTTCAACTGCACAACAAACACAATAGAGTTCAGTCTAACTGCCAATTCGGACGAACCTGCACAAAGGAGCCCCTGTGGAGATCCATTTACACTTCTTTTATGAACTTTGAACAGGATTTTCAGACAGTGAAGAAAGGCAGAGCTGGTGTTTAATTGAAGGGGATTTAACACATAGTCATTTAGAACAGCTTGACAGCCATTAATAAGCAAACAGATATGATTGAGATGAGAATTACTTACATTTTGAAAAAGCCTCCAGACAGATATGTATAGATGGGAAATCGTCACCTACACAAAAGGTCCTCAGGGCTAAAAGAAATGTGTAGGCTTTAGCTTCTCGGTTCTTTCGTAAGACAGTAAAATCCAGACGAAGTTTCTGAGTATTACCTAACAGTGTGGGAAGCTCTGTCTCCTTCAGTGACTCTGCAGGTTCGACCAGAGGTCACAGGGCACGGTGCTCGTACGTATGAGTCAGGTGAGAAACAAAGAGAAAGAGAATTATGTTTCTCATACATATAAATCTCGTAGAGATACTTTAGGGTTGAATGTGTTCACCCTGAGAACTTCTGTCATAATGATTAGCTAACACAGACACCACAGATAAATGAAACATATTTATAGATATGGGGACTAAAAAAGGGAGTGAGCTAAATATAAGAACACTCCTTATGTTAGTTTTGAACAAGGCGATTGATTTTAATCAAACCTCTTTAGATGTTTTTTTTTCCCACAAACATCGTCTAATCTTATTGCCCTTCTCCAAGATTAATCTTACATTTATAAACACTTTGTACGCAGCACATCTTGTTCATCCAAGCTCTCTTTCACGTCCCCCACCACGTTACCACCAATATCCTGAACATTTATTCTGGTTCTCCGAGACCTTTTATTGACTTCTTGTAACATTGCCAATAAGAAAAGTCTCAAGGTTGATCTCCAATGTAAATCTACTCCTACAATTAGTCTGCGCAGCATTTTGTACACGCTATCTGAATATTGTGGGCTGATGAACTTTTTTTCTTTTTCTAAAGCATATTATTATATACATTATGGTTTTCGTGCACTGTTCCATGAAATAATTGCTTTTAAATGATGTTTCTAATGTCAATATTTTTTATAATTTACTTTACAATAAAATTAAAACAGTGCCAACAGTGTCACCTACTGGCAAATTTGTGCAGTGTAATTTAGATACGCGATTCAGTGCCAACAGTGTCACCTACTGGCAAATTTGTGAAGTTTAATTTAGAGACGTGATTCGTCTTTAATTATTTTCTTTAATTATTGTAACATAAACAAACATAAAAAGGTTATTCACTTAAGAAAAATGTAAATAAATAATATGTAGTTCCGAAAGATCAGTAAATGGTTTTAAAATATTCAAAATCCACCGGAAGTGGAATGCCGGACTGTAAAAAACAAACACATGGCTGCTGCGGGACTGACTCCAGACATGTCAAACGTCAGTGTTTTACAGTTTCCCGCGGACTCCTCGACTCTCCCTGAAGGTTTCTGGTCAGCCGTGGACGTGTGGATAAAGAAACCTCACGTTTTAAACAAGCGTCTCTGTGGAGTTACGGAGACGCTGAGTAAAGAAGCTGAAAATGTGCGGAACCTTCTGGATGATGTTTCGGTTCATGGAGTGTCCTCTCAGGTGTTGTCCTTTCTGTCCAGTAAAAACTCCAATGCTGTGACTCAGGAAAACCACAAACCCGTGTCCCGTACTGTCAGGACGTTTGTTCCCAAAGTGAACAGTTATGGAACAAGGTTGCAGAAAGAAGTTGTCGTGAGAGGTAAGATGTCAGCGACACGGAGGGAGTTTCTGTAAGACAGCTGATGAGGGGACACTTCTTTTTCTTTCTTTTAAATTAATTTATTATTATAATTCTTACTGACTTTATAAAGTGTATTAAAAATACATAAACATTTTGTAGAATTATTGTTTAAAATTTGAATCCTTTTGACGGAAACTGTTTTCTTATTTTTATGGTCATTATAACGAACATAACATATGGTACAATGAATATAAAGTTTACATGAAATATGGAGACTCACTTTTTATGACACAAAAATATCCAGACCCAATTTGCAATGTAAATTCTTCTTACCCATAATAATATAATTACAAATCATTTAATACATGCCATGCTTGCTATTATAAATCATATTATTAGACATAAAAACACAGATAGCCTTTTATCTGTCTTGTGCCTTAAAGTTTTCAGAAAGCTTGTAGGTGAAGTGAAGCAGATGGGTAAACCTCATATCTAAATTATTGACCAATTTAATAAAAATGTAAGCTCAGTCTCAAGTTATAAAAGTGGACTATTGGTTATGTTTATACTAACAGTGTATCATGTATGTGTTCTCTCAGTAGTAAAACCATAGTTCAACACCACAAAGTAAAAATGAGAAGTATCTTAAAAACAGGCCTGGTTTGCTCAAAACTTTACCCTTGCATGGAGTCAGTCACTTTGTTTGTAATTTAAGACTCTGTCGACTGTGGTTCCTTTTCCACCCTAATTACAGTTTATTTTGTTGGTGTGTCTCAGACTTTGGCCGACAGCAGGTGACCTTTGTTCCCCTGGAAGAGGATGCAGACGGACAAGTATCCCTGAAGGAGGACAATGTTTATCAGATTCAGCTCTGCAGTCAGGACTGTGAGGGCTGGTGCGTCTGAAAGTGTACACCGTGCCGCCATGTTCTTTAAGTCAGCTGTTTAATTGCTTTTTAGGGCAGTTCTCAAAACAGCCAATCACCCCACAGTGAGACATGAAAAGATAGATAGGATTAGATCAAATAAGATATGTCTGTATTGCACAGTCATACTTGAACCAAAGTCCACCAGGTTTGTGTTACTGTCGCACATCTGTGCAAAGAAGGAGAAACAATAGTATAGTATTAAAACATGACATGCATGCCACATATGTAGAGGTTGTGCGTTGTGCAGAAAAAGGTATTTCATTTAAAATGATAAAACATATATAAGCTATATGGTATGTATAGAGCGAATAAGAATATAAAACTATTCAGCATACTTAATACTACGCTGTATGTATAAAACAATACATTATGAATAACACTGCACAGTTAATGTAAAGTATATGGTAAGTACATAAGCACACAATCTTTATGACCTTTGCAGTACATACAGTATAATCTATATGGAATACGTACATTGAGGTTTTATATATAAAGCTAAACAGATTAAACATAAATGAATGTATAACACTATGTTTTATAAATTTAAACATAAAATCATACCTTGTTTGTAAATCTCAGAATATGTATAAAACAGTGCAGTGTGTTGTTTATTGTACCATTGTTTTGCACATAGCCGACTTACAAGAAAGGCAACTGTTGTTTACACTAATCTGTGATATTACCCCTGGTTGTCCCTGCGCAACATGGTGTAGGGGGCGCTGTAAGAGTCATGAGAGAAGGAGGAAAATGTATCATTTTGTGCAGATTTACACATTCATCAGTGTTAATTGATGCCACACTCGTCAACACTCTGAACTATATAAAACATTATTTTTCTTAGGTTCTTGGAACTCCATATCCTGTCTCCAGGCACATGGTTCTCTGATGGCGTTGTTTACCCCAGGCTGCCCTGGCTGACCTCAGATCTGCTGCCGAAACTGGTGCGATGGGCCAGCGAGTGCAAGAGCAGCGAGTTCAAGAGCACTCTGTCACTGCTGCCGGTGGAGAAATACAGCCTCATGTACCAGCAGCTGAAGGACAAGTACAAGGCCATGGTCAAGGTGAAGAAACCGGACACCCTGATATTTGTTTTTGTGTTTTTACATAGTATAATTTGTATACCGAATGTGTTTTCTAGGTGTGGCCCGAGGTGACAGATCCAGAGAAGTTTGTGTATGAGGACGTCGCCATCGCCACCTATCTCTTGGTGGGTGTTCATGTGCTTATGTCACTTACTGGGTCAAAGGAAGTTGTGTTCACGCCTGAAGTGGACTCCATAGGATTCCTATAAGTGTTATTTCTCCGAGGTCTTTTTGCACTAGAAATTTGCAGCGCTAGTTGGTGTGGGAGAAAATCATTCGTATCCATCAAATGGGGTCAGAGCTGCAGCCCCAAAGTGGGTCAGTCAATTTCTGAGTGAGAAAAAAAAGTAGGTTTCAGTGCAGTAAATCAATCAGTGTGTCACAGGTGAAAGGACTGAAGCGTGTGTTATACTGCAGTTTTAAATTGATATATTGTTTTTAAATGAAGAAGGACACTCATGAACATCCACTGTTGTTTTGGTTCAGGTGCTGTGGGCCGAGGAGCAACAGGAGAAAGGTTTCACCCACAGACAGTCGTTTGTGGACCTGGGCTGTGGTAACGGCCTCCTGGTTCATATACTGACCAGTGAAGGGGTGAGTTGAATGTTTATAGAATCACTAAGGGTCAAATGTTAAAATAAAATATCTGAAATTGTATATTGACAGCTTTTCATGTTTTACTGAATGCTTCTTTGCTGTAAGAGAAAAGCTCAAGTTTAAAACAGGAGATTCAAATGAACTCAACTTAAATCCATAGAATAGCAAATCAACAGGTTCACTAAAGCAGCATTATAAAAGGTCACAAATATGGTGTCCAAGCACAGGCTGGAAAAGACTTAATCCAAATGACTGCCATTGTCAATTCCACAGTGTGTAAATGTGCGTGGTGTTGTCATGTCACACAGCATCCCGGGAAAGGCTTGGATGTTCGCAGGAGAAAGATCTGGGACATGTACGGCAGCCAGACTGTGTTGGAGGTGAGTGGGTTTGAATGGATGGATTGATGAATATTATAATTGAATATTATTGTCTTAACTCATTACTCAATTAATACCGACAACTATTTTATCTGCATTTAAGCATTTTTTAAAATTTCTTTTATTATTGTACATGTCTGTTTCTTACTGCTGCGGCGCTCACAGGAACCGTCAAAGAAGAGAGTTTATCTTACACAGCGTTAGCTTTTTGTTTTGGAAATTGGATAGGATAGTACCTTATTCATCCCTGAAAGGAAATAATTCAGACGTCAAAGCAAAAAGGTACAGAGAAGAGTTCGTCCATGTTTCTGAAAAAAAAAACAACTATGATGCAACACTCCCAGTATTCCCACTGATGTCCAGTCAGTGCTTTTCAAAACATTTCCAGCCTGTTCCCACAATGTCAACACCAGACCATTTCAGACCAACGCACACATTTGCAGGGAAACCTTTTCAGAAACATGCCCATGTTGGTCTCTCGCTGCTGCCCTGTAACAAAGAACATGATTTCATACCTTTATGTAAGGGTCTGAGGTCTGCCAACAGAGCAGACCTCAGGCTTCAGACTGACATTATTTTAAATCTTGAGATTCTATCACAACACTCACATTAACATGAAAGTGTTGCAGAATCAAATCATGTCCTTGTATCTTCTCTCCTGCCCCTAATGTGCTCTTGTTATTTTTTTTGGGGGGGGGGCTGACTCTTCTGCTATTTCAGGAAAAGGCAATTACTCCCAGTGAGAGCTTCTTGTTCCCGACTGCAGACTGGCTGATTGGGAACCACTCGGACGAGCTCACACCGTGGATCCCCATTATAGCAGCCAGGCAAGTCATCAGCTGACACAATCTCACTCAGCAGCTCAAGTGCCAGCTGATCTCTTTAGCTTGTGGTGAACATAACAAGCAGGAGGGGAGAGTATGTGAGGGAGGGACTGTATACGTTTTTTAAGACAGCCACCTGATGGCGTTGCTGAGCTTGAGTCAGAAGCCTGAGCCGTTTCACTTTCAACATATTCACCTCCAAACAGTTTTCTTTGGCTCCGAATGACATTTTTGTTTCCATCTTACCAGGTCGTCTTACTCCTGCCGCTTCTTCGTCCTCCCCTGCTGTTTCTTTGACTTCTATGGAAAGTACCAGAGACGCCAGTGTAAGAAGTCCCAGTATAAAGAGTACATTGATTTCATCACCCAGGTCAGCCAAGTCAGCGGCTTCAACACGGAGGAGGACTGTCTGAGGATACCCTCCACCAAACGGGTAGGCTTACTGGGGCCAAGAGAGGTCACATGACCTCCACACATTTAAGCCTCACATCCCTGAGAAAGGTTCCTGGAACCATTTGTCTCAGGGTGACATTTATGAATGTTACTGTAACGTTTTATTGTATTTATTTGAAAGGCCCAGATTTTTTTCATCATTTGAGAAGAAAATATTATATCTAATCCAATCTTTTTAGAATGTGAACTATTGTATTTATTTGAAAGGCCCAGATTTGTTTCATCATTTGAGAAGAAAATAGAGAGTTATTTTGGACAGTACAGGCTTCAACTTCACTAACTTCAGGGCAGAAACTACATTTCCCATGATGACCCTGCTTGGTAAATGCCTACATTCACAGTTTAAATCCCTGTTTTCCAACTAAAGGCTGTTTTGTGTTGTTTTTCTAGTCTACTTGGTTACGTTTATGCCCCATGGATTTTTATTATTTTTAAAAGAATCATATTTAACCCAGCCAGGCCATGAGCCCACAGGCTGCTCAGTGCTTTATATGAGAGCATTTCAGTTTTGAATCCCAAAAAATAAGCTCACATCCACATTTTAAATATTTGAATAAAACATTTTCTAATAGTGTGGGACACAGAGTATTATTTCTAACATGAATATACAGTTTTTTTTAATCAGTCACTTATTTTGCCCACCTCTAACTGTACACTTTAATTAAAAAATATTATTCACTTGTGGTAAAGTATTTTTTATCAAGGGAGTCATTTAATCTTTCCACGTATTTAATTATGAATTACCTTCCTGCTCAAACAGCACACCTGAGTGTATTGACCTGTTCCCCGTCAGAGTCTCCTCTTTACCAGTCAGACCTGAGGAAATTAATCATACTCCTAGATTGTCCCCAAGTGGACATTTACTTGATTGGTGGGGCCATTGGAAGCTGTTATACCGATGGATGTGTAACTTATTATTATAATGAGGTATTTATAAGATTAAGAATTCAGGAATCATCAGAGTTCTGTTTCACATATGGAGATTATGAGACAAAAAAAGTGCTTCACAAACATTTTCTAGAGATGTGAAGTAACATATTGCTCTGTGGTTGTTGTGAGGGGGAAATAAATGAGTCACACTGTGGTCTCCTCTCTGCTTTGAGATTCTGGTTGCACACTTTGAGGCTTCAGCACCCCTGGGAGCTGCCCTGACATTCAGCTCTTCTTCCCGCAGGTGTGCCTGGTTGGAAAGTCGAGGAACTACCAGTCCTGTGAGGAGGCAGACGCCGAGCGAAGACGAGCTCATTACATTCAGAGCCGGCAGGCTTCACCTGGGGTCAGAGGTCAGAGGTCAGACTTCAGAAATGATGAGGACCTTTCCCATGAGAATGGAGCCAGAACCTGTAGTGGCAGCTGGGGCGTGGGGTTTCAGCCGAGGGACAGGGTGGAATCTGTCCGAAACTGCGCCAATCTCCCCCGCGACTTTGTTGACAGTGTCGTCCTGCGAGTCGCAAATGTTCTTCTGGGAATGACGGCGAAAGACAATGGCGGATGCTCCACTGACTGGAACCAAGGAGGTAACAAAGCGACACAACATCAACCACAGATCATTACAGATGAATAGAGATGTCAGGAGTTTTCACGGGAAACAAATCCTATCAGTTTTCTCTTGACAAAAACAGGGCAATTAAAATAATTTCACTGATATTTTCATGATTAGAAACTAAACTTTTTCACGTCACAGAATGAATCTTTTTTTAAAGTGAGTTATCCCAATGGATTTAAACCTAATGAGCAACTCGTGCATTCAACACATCCCTGATAAATATCAGACCCACAGGAGCAGTGGGCTGCACTTATTTATACCAGGCCTTTCTTGCTCAATACACCACAGACCATTGACCATGACAGTCTGTTGACCATTTAAAACTCTTTACACTGACTGGGAGTGAAACTGAGTGTCCATGTTTGAAGAAGTACAGATGTTACCTAAAATATCAAATAACAATCAACATCGAATATCAAAGATGTAAAAACCCAAGATAACAGTCACATGTCACTGATACTTTCAAATATATTTCCTGCGGCTCTGTGTGTCATATTGTCACCTTCTTGATGTCATCATCAGTTTGAACCTCTCCTCTGGTCTCACCCCTCCCTGCCTGTCTCCTTATACGCCATCTAACTAACCCTAACTCTCCTGACTCCCCACAACCCTCACGATGCCCCCCCCCCCGACAGGCGAACAGTTTGCTGGGTCTTCGTGACACAGCAAGACGCCACTTTGAACTGTGTTTCCCTCCCTCTCTCTCCCTCTCTCTCTCTCTCTCTGCAACACTTCTGCACAGAGTACCTCACACCACACCACACACTCATACACACAAACACTGTTTCGCTCGCATTCCACCCACACACCACCTTTGTCAGTGCCCCGACAACCCCGACCGCTGCAGCCGCAGACACACACCATATGAATGAGATAAGGATTTGAGGAAGACTATGATTAAAACACAGAAAATTCTCTGTCAGCGTGTCAGAGCTGAAATTAGAAGGGATGAAAAATGTGAGGCAGAGACGATAACTGGGTGAAGAGATGGCTGGATGAATAATGTACCACCAGCTATGATTAATGCATGAGTATGAATATGTATCCAGGTATTTCTACGAGTTATGTGCTGTAGTCAAAAAGAGGCGCAAATTCAGGGGTAACAACCAATGATATTCAACCGGTGCAAACTCTCAGAGTTTTTTTTTTGTTGGTGTGTGTATGTATATATATATATATATAGTCACTCTGCAAACTCCAGGTAAAAACTCTAGTTTTTACCTGTACTGAAAATCATAAATATATATATATGGATCACAAAGTTTTCTTCAGTATATTAACAAAGAACACACTGTTACCTGAAAGAGCTTCTTGTCCTTTTTACAAAATTATTCCACTTGACAATGTGAATATGTTCAGTTTTGGAAACTTGTAAATGACCTAAAATAAGAATAATCACATTTTGCCAAAAGACAAAGGTAGTCATGTTAGCTCAGTATAAAGCAAACAAATTATCACCAAAAAAAATGTTTGTTTTTTTATTAGCTGAAAATGAATTTGACTTTCCCCCTTGATGACAGTAGTGTTTAATTGCAGCCACGCTGCTGTTACATAACACAGTCCCCATGCTCTGATGTTAACATGCATCACAGCTCACTGGCAGCAGTTTAATGCATGAATGTGTAGAAAAATCTGCCTGCAGTAGCTCCGGTCAGGTCACTAATTCATGCACACTGTACTGCTGACAGGCCTTTATGTAATAAGGCTGAAAATAAATGTAAGTTTGCATCTGACAGGAGTGATGACGTGCAACGCTGGAGATTCAGTCGGTAAAACAAAAGTTAAAGGCTGAGAATGTTGTTTGGTGTCTGACAGAAAGCTTTAGTGTAGAAGAAGAAACAGGCCGTGGAGAAGGGAACAGATTAAAAGTGGGTGTTCTTTAAATGGTGTGTAAAGTAAGAGAGTCATCCACCTTTTATCACCACCACCACCATCATCATCATCATCATCATCATCATCATCCACACCTGTTCCACTTATTCAACACTAATATTTCCTTCTTTTTATATATAAGCTACTCTTTTCTCTTTGTCTAAATCACTCTGCTGTGTTCACACTGCAGCCTCATTTACTAACACTTTATGATGATGTACAAATAATAACTCATAAAAGACAGACTTAATAAAGTCTTACTAAATCTTAATTTGCTCCACAGTAGGCCCATGACCAAAAAAATAAAAATAACTAAGTAAAATCACTAAAAATTAGCCTGTTATCCAAAAATGAAGGTATAGTTTTTCAAAATAACTAATGAAAAGGAACATGGTTTAAAAGTTTGCCCAAAGAAATGATGTTAAATGCTTAAACTTGCCTGTTAAATCTAGTTCTGTGTTCATACATTGACCCAATAAGACATGCTCACTTATTGTAGCTGAATAATTCGTCTCAACAAGTGTTTCTCACATTTTCTGCACCTCAGTTTATGTTTTCAGGTATATGCATTCCATGTTTTTAGTAATTTAGCAGGTCATGCAAGTCATTTTTATTTATTTGTTTCATTTTTTAATGAACTTACTTGACCCCATATTGTGGGAATTGTTGTATTAACAGCTGCAACAGGGTGCACCTCTGGGAATCAAACACATGACTATTTGCTTGCATGGCAGGCGTGCTAACCGCTACATCATGGAACCAACCAAAATTAGCTTTTTTTATTGTTTGTGTTTTCAGAAGTGACATGTTCCTCCAAACTGCCCCCCACGTTATCTATGGCCACTGGGGGAAACCGTCTACACTTGTGGCTGAATGCTGTTACTGCATCAGTGAAAAACAATGTACACGGTTAAACCATAAAGAAAATCATATCAAATTGAACCAAAAGAGGAAAAGCCATACTGCAAACCTCGTTTTAGTGTCTGGACTCTGGGGCTGGTAAAATCATCCAGTAGAGTGGAAGTAAAAGTTGTCTCGTAACCTCTTCAAATTCCCAATGTGCAGCTTATGCAACAACAGCAATATCACAGTCCTATTTCATCTTCTATTTTTAGGTTTCAGAAATGATAATACAGGGTTTGCACGAGTTTCATGAGCTCTGCTGTTGGCAGACTCACTGATGCCGTGCCACTCTGCAGAATCACGGCTCATTTTTTTTGTTTTTCTTTCTCTCCACTCGACAATCGGCTTAAGCTGCAAAAACTAATTCCCCACAACAGGCAATCAGTGTTTCACCCTCACGCTGGTCTAACTGTGGGAGCAGCGTAGCCATTAATAATCATCTGCTCCTGGTTCTGGTCCAAACAGAGTCCCCCACTGTCAATACTGCCCTTCTGCCATTAATCGCCATTAAGGTTGCAGCAGTAAAGGGTAGCTCTAAACGGTGTATTGATATTATATTAGGGCCTGGAGCTCCCTGGCGTCTGGGCTGTTGGACGGCACTCTGCCCACTTTCACACTCTGCGGCACATGGCCGTGTTTGCCTGCGCCCAGTGTCTGTGTGTGCGTGGGAGTGTGGTGCGTGTTTCGGGGATTAACTTGGGACGTGGGAGGTGGATTTTGGATTTGTTTGGTTTAACAATATGTTTTTGATGGAGATCTGTGACAGAAAAAAAAGCTCAATTGGAGGTTTGGGTTTAGAAGGAGAAAGAAAGTCACACTTTTTCAATTGAGTTCATACAATAAATACAAGAACAAATGATCAAAAGTGTGTTCAAAAACAATTGTTGTTTTGTGTTCATGCGTCATATCTTAATTTTTTCCAAATCCCAAAAAATAATTTTCAAAGAATACCATAAATAACCAGCAGGGGTTGGCGTAAAAACTAAAGCCAAAAAGTTTATTTGGTGTTTTGTGACATCATCAAACCCTCACATATATGGAGGTTTTTCATCATGCGATGTCGAATTATCACTCCAAATGTCTGCTGTGGTCAAAGTCAGTTTGTTTTGCATATTATTGCAAAGACATTGGTGTGGAAGTGATGTAGCTCTTCTGACAAATTTGCATTAAATTTAGTCTTAGAGGAGCGTTAGAAGGCCTGCAGTGTTTTTCATTTTCAGTATGTCAAAGAGCGCCTCAGGAAGATTGTCAATTGTTCAAAACAAAGGTCAAAGCCCTGATTGAATTCTTCTCTGGAGGGAAAAAGGGCAAAGGCTGGAAAATCTGTTGGTGAATCCCTGCCAAAAGGCTGTGAACTCAAACGTCCTCGTCATTTATTGCTTTTACCTTTCACTCCACACTGAGGTTTTAGGACTGTGTGTATCTGTCTGGTAGAACTATGGGACTTTTTATTTGGAAAAAAGGAACACAAAAAGGGAACACTTTTTCCCAATGTTAACATTTTGCAGGTTCCTGATGTGGTTCAAGATGTGGTTCAGGGTTAGAATTAGGGTCACCTTAGAATCAGGATATTTCTAATACTTAAGGTTTGGGGTAAATGGCTCAGAAATGCATTGTGTCTCCTCAAAGTGTAGAACTATCACTCAAACCTGTGTGTGTGTGTGTGTGATGTCACTTTTCTGCTTTTTCACTCTGTGGTTTTCTAAAAAGACTTTCCCAGAGGAGTGACTCTGTGGGCGATGCAGTGGTGAGATGCGTTCTGGTTTCTCTGACAGCTTTAATTGAGCACACTTCATACTAAAGGAAAAGACATTGTCTGAGGCGGTTTCTCGTCCCTCCTGGTTCCCTGATGAGTGTTCTGTCATCATCGGCTTTATTAGTGGATGAAAATGGTTTCCACACATGCTCTGTGCTAATGTTACATCCATAGACCTCCCTCTGCACCTTTGTCTCACTTAACTTTCACATCTTTTCCTCCTCTCCCTCCCCTCCTCGGCCAGGCAGCCTCTCCGTAAGCGAGGTCGCAGGTTTGATGGAGCAGGAAACGCTGCAGCTCCTGAAGAAGGAGTGTGGAGGCCTCCAGACGCTGCTGAAGAACAACCATCAAGTCTTCAGAGGTAAACTGTCTGCAGCACATCTGACCTCACAGCTTCGTACACGTAACATTCACATTTACCTCTCACTGGTAGTCAGATTACCGATGCAGTGACCAATCAAAGTGATTTATTAAGAATGAAAAAGCAGATGCAAAAAGCAAAATTTAGAAATAAATGTCAAGTCATGTAACCTCTCTCCTAAAATGAGCACATTGAGACCATCTGTACCAGGATTTTGTTTTGAAAAACCCTGAGACTTCCTGATATCCATCTTCTTTCAGTGGAAGGAGGGAGGGTGTATGTAAGGGACTGGAGGGACGGGAAGTCCATCAGGGTGGACACCAAGAGAAAACCTGTGGCTCCCGGGGCCGTTAAAACTCGTTTCTGCTGGTTTCACACCCACCACCCTCAGGGCTGCCCCCTGCTGACACAACAATGTTCCTTTGCCCATGGACCTGATGACCTACGACCCTCGACCAGACCGCTAAAGAGGAGAAAGGGCGAACTTCTGCTGAACGTTCTAAATGAAGCAAACTTTGGTTTGGACGACGTATGATCCGTTTAACTGGTTTCATTTTCATTTCTTAGAAAAAGTCAAAGATGTGAATAATCACAGTTTTGTCCTCCTGATATTTCTTACGCCACCTTTTTATTTCAGCGCAGGTTTCACTGTGACTTTTGCTTAAATTTAATCTGTAATTCAATCAATACGTGGACTTTTCCAATGATGTCTTCCGACTGTATTCTACTGAAGCAGATTCCAGGCGTCGTGGTGGAATTTGCGAAGTGCTAATGTTATTTGACAGAGTTTTCATAGAGGTGAGGTTCACAGACAGGGCAGCCTTTGAACAGAGTAAATGTTAGTGGTATGAATTATTTGTTGGCTGGAGTCGCGGGCTGAGCTGCGTGTCGTCCCCTCTGAACAGACGCTCGCTGTTGTGTCTCTGTAACACTGTGTGTGTGCGGACGGTGGCTCAAATGTCAACGAGTCCTGAGTGTTTTCTCAGGACAGTGACCATTAGGCCAATGATACGACAGGTCTGACCGTCACATCTCGTTGACTTATCAAACTAAACACACAGTGACTAATATGTTCGTCGTTGTTGTTCAGTGTGTTGATTCTCAATACAGTGTGTGTCGGACAGTTGCTCATAATTATAGGTTTCTTGGGATACATTTTTTTTTTACACATATCATTTTTTTAGTCCAGTCTGTTTATATTGGTAAAAACAGTCAACAGAAACACCATTAAGAACAAACAATTCATGTGTTTACATGCAATATGAGAGAATTGATTCCAACTTTATTTTGTTAAATTTTTCTTAAAATAAAAAATAACTTTAATTAGTTGTAGATTTTGTATTGTGACTTAAAAAAGGAAGACATTTTTATATGAATTATTTTATTATATATAATATAATAATAAATAATACTATTATATTATATATTATTATATATATACAATAATTTATTTTCTGCTAGTTCTCAGCTGGGTTTATTTGTTTTGGGCTGCTTTAGCAAATGTTAATTTGTGTTTTCGACATCTTTTTTGACTTCACACGTTCTCTCCTGCTGTGTCTTCATACGGACAATACAAATCTAGGCATTTTGACAGTTGACTAATCATCTCGGTTTGGTCTTACCTGGTTAACATTTTGACATTTGGATAATTCAGACATCATTGTGCTGGTGTGTCTTTTCATTTAGGCAAAAACCATGAAATCCCTGGAAGAAAATGACAGTAATTTGCATAGAATTATGCTTTTTAGGAACTGTCTGTGTAAAGACCATGAGCCAAAGTGTCCATTTTTCTTATTCCTCTTCTTGTCTGTGTTTTTTTTTCTCCTTTCACCAGTAAAAATCCATTTACTGTTGGGTGAATAGGAAAAGCTAAGACAGGTTAACAGACTGAATGCCTCGGTGTCTCCTGGGGCTCATTGGCTTAGTCCTTGACTGTCAGCAAACATGCACATTTCAATTTACTGGCTCTAATCACAAATTCAGCGCAGGGATTAAAAGTCTGCAGTAGAAAGAACCCTGATATATTTCTGGTCGTTGGTTGCGATAGATTTTGGCAGTGACGGCAAAAACGAGGCTTCAGCTGCGATGGTCAAAAAAAGACACACGAGCTGAAGGTGTTGCAGCACTCGCTGCCTCAGTGTGTTGGTGTCAAAGTAATTTCCACCCCTCGTCTGTTCTCCCACTGCCACTCTCCCTCACCTCCCTCCTCCCTCGTGTCATTACCCTTCTCGGAAGTAATCAATTCATGAAAATACTCCGACTGCTGCAGGTCTGCAAAGATCATCGCACACCAATCGACCTGCTGCCCTACATTTTTACTACCCAAGAGTGTAATGTGGCCTGCGGGAGCAGAGTTGTCCACCTGACAGACCCAGTGTCCCCACTCACACTCTCAATGTGACCTTTTGAACCACCTCCACTCCTCGTGACGACCACCCAATAATCAGTCCACATGAGTCATGTTTACGCTCCACCCTCCATCAGCGTCCGGTAACTGAGTCTTGGCTGACGATAAAGCTTTTCATGTTCCTTCCACTGAGCAACTAGTGCTATATTTTGGCAAATGTTCTGCCGGTTCTGGCCTGATCTGTTTACTTGTGATAACCTTTGGGTATTTCTATGCTAACATTTAGCACTTATTTACGGTAGCTGATTTGTAACTATTTTGAGTTTGGGTCAGTATTTAGTTGTCTTTATGGAAGATGATTTATATGTTGGTATTAGGTTTAGATTTCAGACAATTCCCAATTGTTTTGCTAACATTTTCTCTTGAAATGTTTCCAAATATAAATCATTGTTTTATTTTTTGATAATATTTTTTAAAATTGACTTAAACTTAGATGTATTGTTTAAAACAGACAGAATAGAGGTAGAAACCCAGGATATTTCTGACCCAAGCTTTTTTTGGGGATGAACTTTTTTTGCAGTTACAGCCCCAGCAGTGTTCTGTTTCACTGGCTGGACTTGATGGTCTTTGTTACGTTGTGACCTTTTAGCCTTTACCTAAAGGCCACACATTTGGGATAATTAATTTACTGAAATATGTCACTATGACAAAGATACACTGAAGTAAAACAGAAACGGAGAAAGAAAACCATATAAATCAAATCCAATAAGTACGAAATGAAATTTCTCCACCCCAGGACACTCGTGACTCAGTGTCCCTCATAATTCTTCTAATAATAGATTGTGTGACTAAGGAAATGTGGAAAACAAAGGAATATTTCTGAATTTCTTTTTTCCCTGAGAAATCATTAACTTCTGTTAGTTTGAGCTCCTTGTTGTTGATTCAGAGAGGTGGACGTGAGTCGAGATCACAGCTGGAAACTCTCGGTCTAATTGGTTTCAGGACAACAGGACAATGATAATGGCTTTACTTTCAGAGTCTGGTTTCAAGCTACGGCTGCAGCTGCTTTTACAGTTACATGAAATGTGGCCTTTGACCATTTTGAGTCATCACTCAAACAATTATGTCTTTATTTTTAAGCAGGTTTTCTATATAGTTTTAGGCTTGAAATATCAAACTTTTAGCTTCAAAAACCTGGCATTTTTGCTCATAGAAATGTTTTAGTGAATCCTGAGCTTGAGGTTTACATTTGAACCAATTTTTTGACAATAATTTAACGTATGTCTTTCAGCTTACCAACTGTTATGTTTAGTTAAAGGTGGTCTTTCTTTTCATCTATCTGTCCTTCGTACATTTTGTTCGTGTTCTATGGATCTGCTTCTGGCCAACATTTCAATATTGTCATATCCCTTCTCTATAATATGGACCTTCTAATCTATATTATGCCATATGTGTTTTCTTCTGTAGTGTGTAGAGTTCAGTTTATTTTTAAAATCATTTTTTAGCTCGGTTTCACAGTTTTTGCTATAATTGTGGCTAATGTTTAGCTTATGTCTTTTATATATTTTTTAGTTATTAGTTATTAATTTTTTAGTTTGTAGTTATTTTGGCTAAGTTTGCGACATAGTTTATAATAGTTTGGGTTGAAGTTATGTTTATTTCATACTGTATTTGTCTGAAAGAAAAGGGAAAAAGAGCTGAGAGGAAACTAGCAGAGCAACGCAGGCACTGAGGGAGCACATTAGCACACAGACTAAATATGCTTTCCATGCCTGGAAACTAGGTCATTGAGAAGTGTGTGTGTGTGTGTTTGCCTAAACCAACAAATTTCCCTGTGTTTCCCTTATGTTTTATTCATTGTGGCATCATGGGATTAGATGTAATGCGCTGTCTCCAGGACAACATTTTGGGGGTGTAGAAAGGTAGTTGTGTAAAACTATGGCCCCAAAAGCCAAGTTTGACTGATGAATTCTTTAGTCTGAACTGTTACAGACCCCCCAAAAACAAACAAAAAAAAAGAAAACAAACCATATCCACCCTTTATGACTCTGAGCTCTGTGAAGGAGTGACAGATTATTAATACTATGTCGTGATGTCTCTCTTGCCCTGTGTGTCTTTCTACTCTGTCGTCCCCGTCTGCTCTTTCATGCAGCAGACATTGTCATCATCACATTGGGAAACTTATTATCAAATATTCTAATAATAAAGTGTATAATATTCTGTGATTAGAATGAATCAGACTGAAAATGGGAATAACTCTGATTGTATCTGCCCTCTAATCCAAATGTCTGGATTTTGACTTATACATTTACATTCATTCATTTAGCATAACCATTTTATCCAGTGCGACTTACAGGAGAATTTACAATCAGACCTCTTGAAAGGAGGCCACTAGTTAGGAAAGTTGGTTTCATAACTAGGGTGGGAATGATGTGGTGGAGACAAGTGCAGAGGAAGAAGGAGAAGAAGAAAAATACAGGAAAGTTGTGGGACTTAAAATCCATGTAGATCATGAAGAGTAGCTTTGCTTCTTGTCTTTGGCTGAAAAGAGTGACAACTGGTGGAATAACATTTCCATTATATAGAATTAGCACCTCCTGCAAGGAAACCTTATAGCCTTTGGCAAACTACAGCCTTTTCTGCAACGCCACCCTTTTGAAAATAGGATTATTGTTGGTCCCACCCTCTCCACCTTGATATGCTCATATTTGTTTTACTTTGAAACCCCACAGAACTTTTCATTTTAAAACTCTGTAAACCCAACAAAACCCATAGAATTACTAATCAGTTCATTTCCTCCACTGTGGGTAAGATTTAAAGAATATGACCGTTAAAGTTGGATTAGAACACCATGTCACATGTTATGTAGTAGGTTCATGCCCCCTCATGGGGTTCAGCCCCTCACTTTGGGAACCACTGGATAAACTCCATATGAACAGCTGCGCTGACATTTTGGTGAGAGAATAAAAAAAAAAAAATCAGTGGTGACACTGGTGGATGGTAATGTTGACCTGTGTGTTGACCAGAGAAACCGTGATTGAACAGTTAGTGCTGATTATACAGAGGCTACTTGACATATAAATGGCTGTGAGGACGTGTGATATTGTTTTCAGATGTGTTTCTGTCATTACTATTCATCTTCATGAAGTACGGCGGTGACTCTGAGTCAGCACGTAAAACAAGAGATGAGTCACTGACCGGAGTGACCACTGGTGCTGACGGGGGTTGGTGAGGAGGCTGTGCCTTGATTTGATCGATTGCTGTGCTGTTCACTCTCTGAATGTAGAAATCTGGCTTCAATTATCAAAAAAAGTAAATTAACAGCAAAAATGGCTCATAAATATTCAGTTGAAAACTTTTAAACTCACTGTACTGCAGTGTTACGGAGTCTCTGTTGGTAAAAAATACATTTTTGTCCTGGTTTGCTGACTATATATTTATTTATTTTCTCTTTATTTTCATTTCCAAAATTGCAAAATATTGACCCAGTTACATTGTTGGGTGTAATGTGATGTTAACAATTCGCAACACGATATTAAATGAATGATTTTATATTTATAAGGATGACTAAAATATTAAAACAGACTGAATTAGCTCTGTATTTTTAGACAGTTATTTTACTGTATTTGTGTCAGAAACTGACTTAGGAAAAAAAACAGACAGAAACTCTATATAAGTTTAAGGTTCATATTTTAAAGTAATGGAAAGTCCACACTCTCTCTCTCACTTTCTCTCTCTCTCTTGCTCTCTGTCTGTCTTTCTCTCTCTCACTCCCTCCCCCTCTCTTTCTCTCTAACTCTATCTCTCTCTATTTCACCCTCGGGTTTTCAAAGGTTCAGAGCGATCTTCTTGTCCGGACACTTACATTGATATCTTTAAATCCAACCAGCAGACCCTGAGGGCAGATGACTGATTAACTCCATGTCTGTGCAAACCCACCGTCACGTACTGTACCAGCTGGAGCCTCCTCTTCAGTCTGCTCAGCTCCTCTGACACCTCCTTCCCCCTAAGACTAGAGTGTGAGGCTGAGCAGTTCCCTAACCTTTAAGGAGAACTGTCCTCCTCACACGCCTGAGAACTGAAAGAGAGACCAAAAGTGGACGTCTCCATTCGACACGTAACACAAGGTGTGTTTGTGATACAGAAAATAAAAAGTGTCACCGATTAGTGGAGAGCTGCCAGGCACAGAAGGCCCACTCTTCTTAACACACACACACACACACACACACACACACGTAAACACGTCGTGTGTCGCCTTCTACTAATATCAGTTAAATTTAGAACAATTATAAACTTCCACGTCTCCACTCCACTCTCCATCGAAGTCTTCTCTCCCGTCGTCCTCCTGGTATTGAATTAATATTTGATGAGATCTTAATCTAATAAAATGTCCTACACAAACACGCTGCGCCTCTGCTAATCTGATCAAAGTATAGATTTCCCTCCGTTTACGCCGTGTTAAATTTACACCCCGGTTATGTCTCTGTGGGCGGGTGCGATGATGAGGGATGAGGTCAGAGATTGGCTGTGGCGACGGTTTGTTGGTAACAGGCTTTAAAACCTCAGGATGAAGTTGATTCTCTCTGGTTGATTTGATTATGATTTCCAACCTTTTCACTGACAAACCTCACTGTTTGTCAGTGAAATAAGACTGTAAACAGATGGAAATGTATGTTACAGAGCAGACTAGTGCATCTGCTGCATTTGTGTGACACACTGCAGGTCTGAGGTTCAGTAAGAAACAATGTTGTGCTCGTTATATAAAGATGTTAGAACCACTAACTTGGTCCTGTTTTATCATTTACTCTCACAGACGGGACTTTTCGGGTCAGTTTTTTTCCTTGAGGATCCCGCCTTCATTGAACTAACAGAGCAGCAGCAGCAGCAGACACGTCTGTGTTGTGTCACCGTTGTCCTTCTTTGCTCCGATGCGAGCAGCTGTCCAGCTGTTTAACTTTTCCTCATTGGCTCCCACCATTGTGCTGGACAAAAAGGCAAACACTCCTGTGTGTGTTTTTATTTTTTGCACGATTTAACGGATGGCGTCGATCCATCGTTCTGCCGCCAGTTTTTCCAATCACTCAGTGGAGACAGTTATTTGACAGTGCTGTATTTCAGTGTCACTGGCTTTTTCTGGATGATATCAGACATAAAAAGTGTCGCTGTCAAACTGGCTGGTGTGATAAGCTTAGCTGCTCTCTGTCAACTGGGTCACCTGAGCCCGTCGCCTATGGTAACGACACCCTCTTCCCTTCTGCCTCTATGCTAACCCCAATATTCACTTCACATCTGAGCTGCTCATATGTCGGTCAGACGTCATTTTTAAATGGCTTAATAATGACTGGTTGTTTAAGGACGAGAGGTTTCAGTGTCACTCCAACGTTCACTGCATGATTTTAAGGTGTAAGGTTTGCCAGTAATAATAAATATTTTGTGGCAAGATAGGTGAAAGTTGCCAAACTAGGCAAGCAGTTTTTATTGTCTCTTTTTATGGGAAAATAAATTTACTAAAAATAAACAGCAAAAATTCCAACAAGGTTTTTAAAAAAATAAGCAAAACTGTATCAGGACTAGAGGTTCTGTGTCATCTAGATCAGTTCCAGGATTCCTAGGAAAACCTGGTGAATTAATGACCAGTTTTCCAGTCATGGAAAACATGAACATAATGGGGGGAAAGTCCAAATTCCTGAAACAAATCTTAGGTAATACTGTAGTGGAAAATCATTTCTTCTCCCTTCTTCTCGCTTCATTGAGAGTGACTGTTGTGTTGTCACGTTCAGAACCAGATCGCTTTTCTTCTTCCAGGCGACTCAGTAGATCGCTTTTCTTCTTCCAGGCGACTCCAAGGCGGCTCCAAGTGACGCTGCCAGCCTCTCACCTCGGAGCGGCTTCCTAGTTTCCACTTGACTTTGTGGCTAGATGGAGTTACATTTCAGACGTTGTTGGGGGAGAAACCTGCGAATCAGACTGTACCTGGTTTTTGTCTGTGTGGTCAGCGAGTGTAAATGTAGAAAAATGTTGGCTTTAATGCTGTAGCAGCAGAAAAAATGTCCTGAAAAGTATTTTCTAGTGAAGAGCACAGTAGCATCCTCTGGTTTTTGAACTGTGGTGTGAGACTCGTCTGATGAGGTTGATCACAGGCTGAAGCTGCTCTAAGGGGAAGCGTACCGTGTGTTCTTGCCTGCTGGAATGATGGCTTTGGAAGAACTGAAGTGTCACCGTCAGACTCCACCAAATTCACCAGACATCATGTAAAATGCATGATGGACCTGGTCTGGTCCATTGAACCTCCTCCTCCTCGTCCCTTGTGAGATCCTCTAAAACCACCTGCAGTCGTCGTCCACAGTCACAGTGTATGTCCTGAATCAAAAGGAGCGTCCGTTGTTTTTTAAATAACCTCAATCTAATTTCACTTTGACGGGAATGGTTAGCCGTCTGCGCTTGGCTTTTAAAGACCCCCCCCCGTCCCCCGTCCCCCCGACTCCCCAGAGAAGGGAAGAGTGGGCGACGCCGACTGAAAATAGCAGTCGTCCAGAACGGCTGAATCAAAGCTGCACCTTGTGCTTAATTAAAGATTAATAAGGAGTTGCTTGCTGCTGTGGAGTTTTTTTTTCTTTTCTTGAAGCCTGGCTTTTACTTCTCTGATTAGGATGATGTAATACTCGTTAATGTTACACAGGACAACAGTGGGGGGAAAAAAAAAATCAAAGCGAGTGCCGGTGTGGGGGCATCAATCTGACGTGGCAGGGTGCAAAAGTGTGTAGCTGCTTTTCTAACACATTGATTAATCAGCTGGTCACAGCTGCTGAAGCCTTTCAGTCTGACGGACGTGTATGAAATGTATCCTGATGAATCAATTAATGAACCTCAGTGGAAAAACTCTTGAAGTGAGTCTACTCAGGTTTTATAAAGTCATTTGCTTAATTCACTGTTTAATAGCAGTATTTCACCTTTTCATACGATGTGTGATAAAACAGTGTCCTGTCGTAGCAGGATGCTCTGCGGTCATTATTAGTTGACATGGACCAGAGGTTGGGTCTCATATGGCTTCGCAGATAAAACATTCAGATGGACAAACAAATTTGGACAAAACGCTAAGACAAGATATTTAAAAAAGGCTTAACAAAACTTACCAGTAGGAACAAATGCATTATAAAAAGGTAGCAGTCGTCGCACAGTGAAAACTGATAAAGGTTAGCATTGTTTTAGTAACCAAGTTAGCAAAAACAAACATTGTACATCAGTAATAACTTTACAACACATGGATGTATGTGGTTGTGTAACTTTACACTGTGCCCTGAAACTCCTCCCTTTTGTTTTTTGCACTGTGTTTCCAAGATGGAGGCAAACACAGTAGTTCAAAGCTCTTGTTATTGGCACCTATTCAAGAAAGTGTTGGTCCTAAACCTGACCCAGTGGCAGCGTCTGATTGATCACTGACTTTTCTCCTCCTGTGGAACTTCCATATAAATTTGCGGGGTCTGTGTGTGTCGTGGTCCTGTCACAGAACAGAAGTTGTGTTTTTTGCTGCTAACCTTCCATGACTCACGGAGTGAATGCACCATGAGTCACAACACCGCAGCCTACAACTTTAGGCGGAGTGAAAAATGCCCGGGAGTGTGTTTGAAGAAGATGTTTGTGGACATTTCTGTCGGACCAGGATGAATAAGAGCAGAGGCGCTGGAAGAGGAACGCGCGGGGCCGACGGCACCGACAGCACCACGCTGGGGATTTAACTTTCAACCTGCACTTGTTCACGTGCGCCAGAATAGAATAAAAGTCTTTGTTTTTAGATTTATTTTTATTCCGGTCAAAACTTTAAAATGTATCAGCTGCCATATTTATCAGGATGACGAGGGGAAATAGAAATGCTTAGAAATAGTTATCTGAACCCAGCTGAGCAGATTGGAGTGAAAAGCTGTTTTTCAACCTTGGCGTCACGTGAATTGTCTAGTGACGTATAAAAACATTGCACGACGAACTGAAGCTGAAACACTGTAAGACTCTCCA